TATATATATATATATATATACCACACTTCAAAAAATACATTGCTTCTCGTACGTTGCAGCTGGAGGGCCATTTTCGTGTGGTAATGCGTTGAGTCGTCCACGACAGACGCCATCCGCGGCGGCAGATCAAACACAATCACGGGGTTAATGGCTTTGTACTCGTCTGTGCAGTTGGATCCGTTCACAAAGATGGTCGTGCCGTCAAAGCTAGTGCCATACCCTTCGTGCACTACAATAGCAATACAAGGTTACTAAAAAGGCACTAAAATACAAATAGTGACACTACTACCATGGCCAAACAAGTGAAACGCTGGCTTGATCCGGCCCTGCACTTGGTGGAGTAGATGCACATCGCCGACTCTGTGGAGCCCCACGTCATCGCCGCGACCCATCGGAGGAGAATGAGTGACCAGCACGTCCACATCCGACGGAATGGCCGCCCATTTTTCTTTTAATTTGGCACTTCCTCGAGGGAGATTGAATGCCCAGTCGCAAAATGCAGGTTGCCACGGAGATCTAGTGATAGGAGTTTTATAACGGGATGTGTGTGTAGGAATAGGTTCAATGTGAATACAAGCAAATAGATATGAGTGCTAATGTACGCAATTATGCAGACTGTGGATACACATGTGAACGATACACGAGCAAAGAATATGTCGAAAACTTGTATGTTGGTTTCTATATACTGTATTTTTATATATATATAAATACAGTATATAGAAAACATATATATATATATGTATAAATACAGTATATAGAAACCAACATGTATTTATATATATATATACAGTATATAGAAACCAAACATACAAGTTTATCATCGAATTGACAATATATATGTTCAATTCGATGATTCGAAATTGGAGTAAGAACAGGATCGACCAATCAAAACCGAGAATATACAAATCAAGTGGCCAATAATATCCGAATCACGGGTTACGCATTTTATTAGTGTGGAACTGAAATTAGTGTGACGGGCAACACGTGTTCCATACAAACGTCTATACAAACAATCGATCGCCGGATTTCTCAAAGTCCGAGGTTTTGGCTCAAATGGGGACAATCCTGAATTATCCAATATATTGCAAGAAATCAATAGATATTAGGATAATCGAAAAATAGAGCATACTTGTGAATTATCCAACATATTGTAGGACATAAATAGATATATTAGAATGATCGAAAATGGAGCATACCCGTAGATGCGGTATCCTTCGACGGTCACGAGGGAGTCTTCCAGGTACAGCGCGTTCGTGAGCAACGATCTGACGTCGTCGGAGTCGTATTCGACGGGATGGCCATACCGCTTCCAGTGGGTCTTGTAGTACGCTTTGTCAAATGTACACTCGTGGTTGCCACCGATGACAATCTTGTACCGATGGGGTAACGTCCCCAGGAACGCATTGAACGCCAACACCTACGACGCACACGACGTACACGCGATGATGATCAAGCAGAAGGGAGAGGACGTAGCGTACTTCGTCGCGGTCCCCGGTGTCGGTGAAGTCGCCGCCATGCACCAGCACGTCGCCATGGGGAATCGGCGGGAGGTCGTCGTGGAGCGAGTGCGTGTCCGAGATGAACACGACACGGAGATCACCAGGTTCCTTCCGTGCAGGGACTTGAGGAAGGGAAAAACCGCGCTGGAAGTACTGATACGGCTGAATCCGCCGCCACACGGCCGCGATATCGTCGGCAGGGGCATGCGCGGCGGCATTGTCCAAGGCTCTTGCCCCCACATGTTGCCAAAAAGATGTGATGTCATCTGGGGACAATGCATCTTGTCGCAAGCAAGCATCGATCTCATATCGGGACTTTCCTTCCTCCAGAAAGGCGTTGTACTTGTCGAAGTCCATCGGCGGCCGAGCAGTGGTAGCGACTGCAGTTGTCATCGCCAGAATTGTTATCCGAGTTCAACTTCTTTAGACGTTTTACGTTATATCGATTGTCATCCTTTTATATAAATCGTTTAAGCCACATTAATTGCGTGAGGTAATTAATTGCACATATTTCAATTAATGAATCCCTCATGAATATGGCTGGTTTACAGTACAGTAATACTTTAACGCGTTGTTTGAACTGGGATCCGGATAACTTCCCTGAAACTCCCGCTCGCACCATTACAGTATGACTTGCCGCGGTACACGAGTGCCGATGGAGGATCGGGTTCGAGATCACAACATGATGAGGCATGTCTGTAAGTGATTTGGTTGGCATCTTATCATGTCACCCTTGCGTTCTTGGTGACAACGTCAGGGCGATGGTAAATGCTGCACTGTGGTCCTGTCGGTTCGCTTGGTGATTCCAACAAGCAGCAAACCAATCACGCAGTGCGGCTCCGCTTCAACTCCATCGTGAAACAACCTGTCCATTCCTTTGGATGCGGCGTCGCTTTCCCCTGCCCCTCTCGACGTTGGTCAAGCACATGCTGCTCAATGTTACGTGGACGACGCCAGTAAGCTATAAACTAACGGGGCAATGAGCCACCAAAGCTAACACGACGATGATGGTGCATAAGCTTAACCACATACAGGCACATAATTAATCTGCTATGGCCACCTCAAGATCAGGTATATTTGGATGGTTCGTACGGGAAAGTAAGTTGCTGCTGGTGGGCTATCTCGAATGATACTTATTCACTGGCGTCGTGGCCACCTCTAGCAGATGCTATGCGCGGCGGCAGATAGAACACCACAACGGGGTTGGTCGTGTCTTTGTAGTCGACAGATCAAGCCGTTCACAAACTGTGCGTCAACCCCGTCGTCAAAGCTGTATCCTTCATGACATAGACAACAAGTGCTAGTATTAAATAGTGACACTACCAAACAAGTGAAACGCTGGCTTGATCTGCCAAATGTAGTGTCGGGGTTTCCAGTAATGTCTGTCCCTAGGAGTACATTAATGCGCCAGAGGACAAGGCAGCATATGTGTCATGGGTGCTAACGTCAGAGAAGGGAATGTACATCGTCGGTGGTTCTATCTAGTGTTTGGAAATCGCGGCCATGCATCAATAGATCGCCGTCTGGAATGGGTGGCATGATGTCGTGAAGCGCGTCCGAGATGAACATAACGCGAAGACCTCGACGTTGTTTTCGTTTAGGCACCTGTTCAAGTGAGAGCCCTTGCTCGAAAAGTTGGTACATACTACGGCTGACGTTTGACGCCATACTGTGGCAAGGTCGTTGGCAGGTGGCTTCGGCTAGGGACTGGGACCGCACATGTTGTGCCAGAAAGACGTGAAGTCATCCAAAGCGAAGACATCCCTTCACATGCACGCATCGATGTCGAACGGGAACCTCCTTGCTTCACCAGGATGGCATTGTATTTGGCAACTGGCACAGAGCTGCGGGAGTCGTCATGTCGCACGAGCTCCCAAGCTTAAACTTGTATATCCAGGAACGTCGTTGTCTAGCCTATATGAAGCGAGGTACAGTAGTACAGGCAGTGTACAGTATCCTTAGCCGCCAGGTGTGAAGTGGAACTATGGATGTCAGACGACAGCCTCCGGGAAGTCATCCTTGACGCCCAGTTTTGTAAGATATACTACTACATAAGGCCAGTTGGTAAAGTTGTCACGCCTCTTGTCTACCCATCACGTGGTGGCATGCATCTCCCATACACATGTCGAACACTTCCAAGACCATACCTCTACCTCGTTCCATGTCCCATTCATCATGGCAAATCTCGTCGGGTGACATTCCTCCAGACTCGTGCATCAAACGATACATAATCCAAGCAGCTTTTATCTTATTTATATTATATTACCCATTTGTCTTTTGGTAGTACATACTAACATTAGTACCATTTCACATACCACCGCCCAATATATAAAAAAGCATTTTGTTTTGAACGGGACTGTAACTGCCATAGAACAGTCACATCACGAACATATTCTGCGATCTCGTCCTCGATGCTGGCTGTTGTTGCCCTCTGGCTCACAGGTTGTTATCCTCCATCTTCGTACGTCACTTGGAATTCGGCGTGGTCATACCTATAATGCCAGCACCACACATAGACACTTTCCGTGCTCGTAGCTGCCTCAAGCGCAAACGATCCTTTGCCAAGAGCGTCGAGTTCTCCGTGGTCACTGAATTTACATTCCGCGTCGGGATAGGAGCTGGGTCCGTCCCAAGCGATAGCGTGCCCGGTGTCGGCTTGGCTGGGTCGCCCATTGAAACCATCACAAAGAGAGTCCGAATCAACGGCCCTGGACGTGTGATGATGTATTCCCGCAGCGACCGCCTCTACCTCCTCCAGCGCTCGGGCGAAGATTCGACACAATTGGCCCACGAATCCGTGGAATTGCAGCGCATTCAGCTGTCGAGATTGACCCATGCCCGCGAACATTTGGAACTAAAGCGAGAAAAGGCCGTCATGGCTACACAATCGCGCAACCAAATGCACATGCAACGATTGTTATGTTAACTAACAGTAAATACTACTTCGAAGTACTACTGAGTGATTGTTTTCCACCAATCATGCATCGTGGCACGTTGTCACATAACTGCGGAACTATGAGATTTATTCGGATCATGTACGGATAACAGCGTGATTTCATGGAGTCCCATGGATAAATCTCAACTATTAATACGTATAATACATGCATCCTCTTTTGAGTGTAGGTTTTTACTCAAGTACTCTTGAGTGAAAACCTACACTGAGACTGTGAAACTATTCATAGAAAGGGAGGATAGTATATTTTGGTGTCGATGGCCAAGTTGACAGTAAAACAGAAAGTGTCATTATACCGGTATGGGGAATGTTGGTTTAATCATGGTAAAACCAACATACAGTAATGTTGGCCAACAACCTACGCAATCAATCGACGATTTCTGCTTTTGAATAAATTAAGTGGTATCGATGCCACGCTAACTATAATATGAAGATCCAGCGAGCATCAATACTGCAGGAAGTATTATTATATATCACTGGGTGCATATTAGCACATTCCTTCCAAACGATACAGTCAATTCCATAAACATGTCACTTCCCTTTGTCCTAAGAGCTGGACAGCGTATGTAGACTGCGTGGCAAATGAGCACCCCCACAGGTGCGACTATAACTGCTATTTTACAGTTCTATCCGGATTATTTACAGTTTTGACAACCCCACCGGGTGGGCGACTGTAAAATACAGAAAACTGTATAATTTTACCGCGAGACTTCAAATCGGACAGATGTACAGTTTTGACAACAAATGAGCCAATAACATGTTGTCAATGGATGATTTTGTCCAATCATCGGTGTCATGTACGGAAAGCCAACAATCACTACCTTTGAGCAAATTGATCCTTCAAACGCGCTCGTGGCTCACAACTTCACTAAACTCGTCGAGTGCATCGGCACCCAAACAAAGCACAACCTTCGCTGAGCAGTGACCACAAATTTCCTATGATGTGAATGACCGATTTTCCTTCCATCAATCAACACATTAGAACAGTTGTCGTTCTCAACCGCATCGTCCGTCCATGAAGAGTCCATATACCTAAAGTATAGCGACCTTGTCCAACTAAAGCGCGGGTGAGCTTTGCTCCCCATTCTGTAAATTGACTGTGAGACCGAAATAGTCAGTCCCTACACAGTCGAGCATCTTCAGCCTGACTATCCAGGGGCAGGCTGGAATGGCGGTCAACTATTGACACTAGGGCGGGAAGGTGGTCAAGGATCTCACGAGTGAATTCCACGTCATCGCCGTCGTCCAAAGCAAACTCATACCTCTGAGTTCATAGTTATGCGAATTTTTTACCGTTTACCGCTGGGGTTGACGAAAATTACAATACAGCAACTGTAACACGGCAGTTTAGAGTCTGATTATACAATCGCACAGATGTGGATGCCCTAACAATTCTACCTCATCGATATTGCATTTGAAGTAGCCGCGACTGCAGCTGGTATATTAATTAGCTGGTATATTAATTAACTCACGATTATTCAAACTTCACAAAACTAGAGCTGCACAACCAAACATACTGTATCACAGTGGCTAGCTGGCTGGCGGCGGAATACTAATTTGATAGAGTACTGTATTTCATCAAGCATGCTGGGAATAATATATAGTTTGCAAGGACGATCTTGGTGGGCGTTTCATAGCACGACCGTTTGGCGCTCGGACCGTCGATAGACGCGTATGTCTGTGATGTGGTGCTATGTACAGTAGTCTTCTTTTGGCCAAGTACTTGGCAAATCGACTGGTCGGCGGTTAGACCATCTCCATCACACTGATGCGTCGGGATCCTTGTACTTGGTTCAAGCCTTGCCGCTTGAGCAGCAAGAGGCGGTTCTGGACAGCGTACTTCATGACGCAGCCAACCCCTTCGGCCGCCTTCGATCGGGCGACGGGAGGCCCCATCAAGCCCACGCCGGGCACTTGGTCGCTCGGCACCACGCAGGAGCTCCAGCCGACGTCAGAGTTGTCGCTGTATCGAATCGCGCAGCCTTCTTGGCATGGTGTTGGCTGTGCTTGATGCTGCATGTGTCGTTGTTGTGGAAAAGCAATGGCGTCATTGAAGAGACAACGTGCATGGAATGACCAACTTGTCAAGAGTACACGTGCGATGGAGGGTGTGCAAACGATGGCACCGAGCGTGAGTCCACTCTTGATTTCAATGTGTGGATGGTACAGTAGGATCAATCCGATCTTCACAGGCATGATGGTGGTTAAAGTAAAATTAATGCTAAATTAAGCTTTACTTGAGTATGTCATACTTTAAAGTATATTTAACAAGGACTAAAATATCGAAATAAGCACGACGTAGTACTGTTCGCAATAGCTTCAAGGCGGTTAAAACAAAATCAATGCTTGATGCAGCTTAAGTTTTGTTTATACCTTCTCGATGCGGTAGTTCCCTCTATAATACTTGAAGTACTTTACAGAATATAACAGAAGTATGCAATATAACACCTTACATATTTGTCCCTTCTGAATACAAAAATCAAGTAAGTTTTGGACGTCGACGCTGTTTATAACATTTCGCGACTGTGAAATGTCGACCAGCGACCGAAAGACGGAAGTGTGGTCGATGGCGGTGTGTGGAATGGACATGCTATGGCGCGGCGAGGTCGTTCAGCATGGCAACAGACGCGATCTCCGTGCAGAATGCAAGGAACTCGTCCAAACTCATGCCATCAGCCTCGTCCGTCGCCATTCCCACAAATGCTTTCCCAAACGCCTATGAAACGAAGCCATGAGAAGCATGAATGCCGACGCAGGGTGCATCCATGCCGCCATATCATCCACGCACCTCATTCTCGAGCAACGGGCGCAGCCCTCTGGATCGTCCGACAAACTCGCGGACACGGTCGTTGTTGTCGAGGGCATGCATCATCTCGTGCTGGTCGATCTTGCCACTGTGGTCCGTGTCCACAAGCGCAAACACAATCTACATCCATGCAAAGTCAACATCGAACGACCTCAATCTGTCATCCACTTTTCATTCGAAACCGCATGCACTTCTTCAATATGCATATGACGTTGTACGTCGACAGGAACGTTACCTTGGCAATGGCCGCTTCTTGCTCTAGTATCGCCTTGCGCGCAGCATACGCTTCATTTTTCTGTCGGATGATGTCATCTTTGCTTTGACCTCCGTCCTTTCGATCGGCCATGATGGCGGCAAACATGCGCCGTCCGTAGTCGCGAAAGGCCGCCCATGAGATGCTGTTGGTGTTGTCCTTGTCCATGTCAGCAAACACTCCGTCGACGCTGCGCTTCTTGAGCGCGTGCTTGAGCACCACGGACGTCATGGCGACGCTGCGCACATACGCGTCTTTTGTCAATGCCCACAGCTGCCAAACCACGCGTCGCCATATTAGCCGAAAGTGATGACAAAACACGCTCAAGATCGATCGTCACGTTGTTACCATTTCATTCTTGTCCAGGGTGCCGCCGCGGTCCGTGTCGATGAGGTCAAACAACTGAGCGAGGATGCCTTCCATAGAGTAAACATATCAGTTTGCCAGATGCATATATATATATATATATAACGTATTCCATGCATCTGTGTCAAGGCATACTAGTACTACAGTACCGATAGCATACACCACACAAGACGTATTAAAAATAGTTTCTGAACCACAACACACTCAAATACACAAGTATACTCCGTACGCTGTTCATCATGAAAGCGCGGGTCGTCCTCTTGAGCTGACGGGGCGTCGGCTGCGTGGGCTCGGTCGTCGTCGTCCTCGTCGCGGGTTCCTTGGTCGGGGCTGCTGCTGGTGGTCGCTGCGGGATGGCGCTGGACGGGTCCGTGCTTGTGTAGCGGTTTGAGGCTGCCATATTTGACCTTTCCTTTGGTTCCATGAAGCACTGTTGTCGGCTGCAAATGTGACAGTGAAGTGTTTTGACCACCGTACTCAAAACAGGTGTACATACGTGGCGTACGGTGAACGCAAGGCCATTGGCACTGGCGCGAGCGTTGGGATCTCTCACGACTGGCGATGCCACCGGTGACTAACGTTATGTCATATATCAGTTGCACCATCCATATATATATATATATATATCAAGGCACATGTTGTATCACACAGTGTGCTTGAAATCTCGGTGTGATGGATGGTCGAAGCAGGCGGTACATGGTTTCGGTTGATGTACAGTACAGTACATATAACTTTAAACCGATCAAAGTTATCCTTAAAGGTATAGGTCGAAACCGATCAAAAGTATCCTTAAAGGTATAGGTTGAAACCGATCAAAAGTACCCTTAAAGGCGCACGACGACTGGGCTGATGAATAAGCTGGGCCGCCAACGACACGTGGTCCACGCGCGGTTTGTCTAAATGATACATCGACTCGGGCTGGCTCACGTCGAGTTTGCCGTTTCGACCGACCTAACTCCTCATTCGTTCGTTACACGAACAGGGGCGTGCCACGTCACAGCTCTACCGTGTGGGCACTGCTGGCTGTGTGGAAAATGTGTTTAGGGTTGGCGCGGCGATGGGGGTCCAGTACTACATCCAGCATGTACTGGACCGATGAAGGGCTGGTTCTAATGCTGGTAGTTCCAGAGTTTGGTTTCAGATCGTTTGATGACGGGGGGGGGCGTTGAGTGGTCAGAGGGACAGTGGTCGTTGTGGCCATCACATCGTCTTGGTAGGTTGTTTGCGTAGTGGGCCACTGATATAACAAGATATCTTCAGAGGTTGTCGCACGTCGAAACAGCTATGACAAAATCACACAAGTTAGCAATTATTCTATAGTAATATTGTACTTTTCAGTCAATTTGCCTATATTTTGGGAGATTGATGAAATCGCCAGCAACTACTAATCGAGCAATCGAGTATGATTGGCTACACAGAATGAAGGTTGCAATTTGATTGGCTAAAACGATTCAGTATTGCAGTCACAAACATACCTCTTCAATTTTGTTTTATATGCAAATTCAAAGGTCCTGCGATTGTTCGGCGGTTCATTCAACCAACCGCGGGAGGAAGGACATTTTGAGTAGAACACATAATATGTCATTCATTGCAACAGTCGACGTTGCCATGACCAAATTCAATGGAGCTGGAAATAAATATATCTTGGGGGTTAGGTGCATAAAATGCTAGAAGCAAGAACAGAAAACAGTCGAGTATAAAATCAAAGCAAGATAGGAACTATGAACGAACGCTTAATAGTGTTATGAAAGTGTTTGACCTAGATATATACAGACATCGTACGCGAAGATAGTTCTTTCGATCTCGAGTTTCCTGTTGAATGCGGTGCAAGTTGGCTTCTTTCACGGCCCGGGCGGCTTCGGCAGCCCACGTCGCATGCAATTGCGACGCGCATACGTCCTATAATATTTGTATTCATCCCAACACATCCAATATATATATATATATATATATATATATATTATAGGGAACTTTCATCCATCCAAGCGCTAGAAAGTGTATGATCGACGGCAAAAACTATATGTCAGCATCACCTACCTGCATGTATTGTCGAGATGCATTGTCTTCCAACACCATGTGCTGCTGGCACCTACATCCGTAGTTCGCAATAGATACAACACAATACTAAGTATTACAATCGTACCACGTTTCGTCGTTTTCTTGCTTTTGAACCCCCCAAAACGTATCGGTTTTGCATTGAAGCAACTCTTGCAATTGCATGGCGGACCGTTCGCGGCTCTCCAGCGCGCTGTCTTCGCTCCGCCGGCGCCGCTCCAGCTCTTCCATCGCTCGGCGTTGGATTTCTTCGCGTTTTCTAGCAGCTTCCTGTACCCAAAGGCTGTATGATTCATCGTACATGTGTATGCAATACTGTACATGCAAGTTCCGACGAAGGTCCTCCGCATCCCGCATCGACTGCTCCTCGACCCCCTGCCGCTGAATCTCGCGCGTGGTCTAGCATATATATATATATATCGAAATGAGCTGTATCCATTGGACGTATTTCGGAATGATCTGTATCCATATATATGCATGTATGCAGCAATGCTGGATGTGTTGTATCCATTTGGATGTGGTTTGATTATTTTGTGTGAATGTCGAGTTGTACTTCGCAAGAATATATATATATATATACTGTATCTGCAGCATTGCTGGATGTGTTGTATCCATTTGGATGTTTCTTTATTTTTTGTGTGAATCCTATTTCGGAATGTATGCAATATCCCTATATATACTATATGCGCACTCATCACGTACCTGATCGATACCCCAAAACCGATCGCTTTTGGAACACTGTTTCTTTTCAACCAGCAGCATCCCCCGCCGTTCGTCCGCTTCGCGCTGGGCTTCGACTTCCTACACGTCAGCACATGTGTTTCTCTCACTTGACAACTGACATACATATATTCACCTGCTGGTATTCGTACATTGTACACATACCTTTGTCACGGGCTTCTTGGTCTCAACAAGTCGAGAAACGACGGGCGTCGAAGCTGTCAATCGAGTTGGTTGCTGCGGGGGCGGTTGCAAGGCTCGAGGCTCGTCGTTTTCTTGTAGTAGCGGCCCCTCTGCCGCCACTGGCTCGTCATCGCCAGCCTCGCCATCTACCGCCGCATCTTGAACGTCCCCCTCCGCCACCTCTGGTTCCACGACACCCCCTTCTTCCGACGTGGAAATTCCGTCTGTGCCGCCATGTTGTCGGGTCCTTCTCACTCGCATTCGAGCGAGGGCACATCGAAATGCGCATTGAATGACCAGCAGCACCGTGAACAGCGGGTCCTCGTCGCGAAAGACACGGGGGGGGTGGGTCGTGATGGATCCGTGGTGGCATTCGTAATAGTACGCTCGTCTGAGGACAGGATCAAATGAGTGGATCCACTCCTCGTCCTCCTCGCCACCATCACCATTCGCCGCCGTCATCCTCTTCACCATCTCGTCGTCCAAGAGGAGCAGCTGCGACCGAATCCTGTCGAGTCTCGACACGGTCGAGGCATCGAGCACAAAGCTGTGGGTTCTTCTCTATATATAAAAATACCTGTCAGACCAACCTAGTTGATTGGATGTGTGATTGAACAACCTCGAGCGTCTGTGTGGTTTTGTCTGGAGGTGGCAATTCTTGGGCATCGATGGAAACCTCCACAGAGCCAGCCCCACTTGGCGGCGCAACCGACTCGCCACTCTCGTCGACGGTCTTGTCGCTGGACGGTGGTAGCTCCCACGTCGTTTCCCCTGTGGTTTTGTGCATGAAAAAACTCCGGCCAAACTCATCGGCGCATTCTTCCCACTCGACGTCGCCGTCGTCGGCCATTCTTGGACAACTAGTGTCCGTAACGGGCACATACATTCTGGATGTCGGTTTCACGCCGAAACGACATTTGCCCCATATAGTTATGAATAAAGTTGTAATTTCAATGTAACGAACGGTATGCAATCAACTATGCACACGGTACCACCTGCGTGACGACAGTGCCGATATGCATGCATTGGGCAGACATAGGAATGTTGCCAAATCGATTTGAAACTGGAGCAGCCCTCAGCAGAATTGAATGTCTTATGAGCATGCAGTCAAGAACCGCCAAAGCCAATCAAATCACGTTTCGAGGAATTTCTGCCAATCCAAACACGTTTGATTCGGCCCTCCGTATTGGGCAAAACCACATGGATGTATAGGACGTATACTTTGTACAAGTTTAAATTAGATCAAATGGGTTCGAAACCTATATAAATGTGTGTGGGGTTAGGGTTGCTTTCAAGATGGGATGTGTTTGATTTCACACATCTCAATTGTCATACCCCGGCTTGTAAGCTGAGCTTAAGTACATAATTCAGGGAAGTATTGCGATTGGAGGTCTTGTAAATCCCACAATTATAACCAATCAAGTGCGAATCCCACCAATAATAATATAGTAAAATTGGATCAATTCGATCTCCATACATTTTCGATATGAAAACATGTCGGACTTCACTGTAGATTGAATTGATTATCAAAAGGCTCTACTTGAACGTTTACATCCTCGAGGGTATCTGTCATCTACTGGTCATACGCGTCGACATGGACGCCGGCAATGGCGCGCCCAGATGGATCGGCGGCGTTCTTAAATGATGCATCCCATTCGATCGCGGCTGCCGTGCTGCATGCAATGCTCGGTCCCCCCGGAACAGTCTGCGCCGCCACTTCCTTTTCAAAATGCTTGGAGAAAATGCTACCAAAAAATACCCATATGTTCATCAATATGTGTTCAAAAATTACAAATATCATATTGTCGATTTGATACAAATTTGGGGACGGGGTGCAATCGAATCGCGCCGACCAAACCGATCCACAATCGATCTGATTGGTTGAATTTCATTGAGAAGGTTTTGATTGGTTAATAATTTTGAGCTCTTCTGAAGTAGCCAATCAAATCGATTGAAATTCCAACGAGAAACCACAACACAATGAAATTTCACTCGAAAGCACAATATATATATATATAACAATTGCCAACCTGCGGTACAAGTATGCTTCTTTCGTCTGGGGCGTATTGTACGGAAACAACAGCTCAGCGTGCTTCATTTGCCGGTCGGAAATCTCGCGGTCCGCCCAATCTTTCAGCGCGTCGATCCACCCGTAGCCCACGCCGTCGGAAAATTGCTCTTTCTATTGGAATTATTAAATATATATATATATATTTCACATAAACATTGAACAAATTTCACAGTACCTGGCGCCACAAAATGTTGTTGGGCAAGTACGGATGCTCGGGCGTGTCAAACGCTTTGCGAAGAACGTACTTTTCCATGCGGCCACTTTCGCGGTTGCACTACAAGTTTGTTTATGACCAAATTGATAGAAAAAAATATTTAAATATTGTAATATTTCGTACCATTTTCTCGGTCGAATCCAAGTTCATGGCCACGTCGAGAAAGTCGGCGTCCAAAAACGGCACGCGCGCTTCCACGCCCCACGCGCTCGTGGATTTGTTGGCGCGAAGGCAGTCGAATTGATGCAATCCCTAGAAATATAATTCAGAAATGTCCCTTTCAGACAATATATAATTATATTATTATATGGACAACACTCAATATCAAATGAAAACTACTCGAAAAACCCACAAGACAATAGTATCCCATGGTCTCTCTCTCTCTCTATATATATATATATATACACTCAGTGATGTCCATTTCCGACAATATATTGCTTCGAAAAGTATTATACAATATAGTGGACAACACAATCATATTTTTATATCTTGTAGTACCTGGTCAATACACAATGTCAAAACACAATTTGTCACAAACAAATACAATCAATAAACTCAAGCATATATATATTTATATATATATGCTTGTATATATATATATATTTATATATATATGCTTGTATATATATATATATTTATATATATATACAAACACCCACACTACAATAGTATCCCATTGGCGCGTTAAACAAAACACGTCGAGATCAATATTATAATATATTATATATATATATCCAAGAAGGGCAAGCCTCATACCATTCAATGAGTATATATATATATATACATATATACCTTGAGTTTGTTCACAGTTTCATCGTGCAATGCTTGGGCGTGGGGGGCCTTGTGAAAGTAGAGGTACCCCCCAAATACTTCGTCCGCGCCTTCGCCCGACAGCACCATCTTGATGCCCATGGCTTTGATCTTGCGACTCATGAGAAACATGGGTGTCGATGCACGAATCGTCGTCACGTCGTACGTTTCCAGCTAATATTTTCATTAGAATTCGTACATATTACTATATTTATTATATAATTCCGACCAAATTCCCCCTCCCCATTGAGCATTGACGTATATATATATATATACATGTATGAAGAAACAATGTCCACTTTTGAGGACATTGTTTATATATACGCTTTTGTGCGTTGTCATACATATATATATATATATATATAGATATAAACAATGTCCACTTTTGAGGACAGGATCATACTACGACTCACACTAGAGTTATATCATGAACCCGTGGATATCGCTGATAAATGAAATAGACGAGGATATTAAATGAAATAGACACATGTGGGTATTCAATGAAATAGATGATTATTCATCTATATCGTACATGATAAATGACGTCCGACACAGCATCGATGCCTTCTTGGATCGTGTACGTGTACGAGTGATGGATCGTGCCGAGGGACTTCGCGACTTCCTTCGCCGCCGCCAAGTCGGGCGAGTTGTCCAAACCAATCGTAAATGAATGCAATCGCGGACTCCACTCCGTATCGGCGCCTAGAACAACGCAGCAACACGGTAGTTAACCAAGGCTTATATTAATTCATGCAAGCATTTTTGTGCAAATATATATATATATATATATATATATATATATATATATAGATCCGCATTCGTTCGGGCGTTGTTCAGTTTTCTTTTTTTTTTTTGAACCGAACAGTTGAAAAATTACAACATTTGGTGAAAAAAAACGCCAATTTAGGGATCCAATTGGCGTTGTTTTGACGAAAAATTGGACAAAACAGACGATTCTTGAGGGATATATAACAACAGGATCACATGTCTGGCCATGTTGGAAGGGAGAAGTACCTGCGGCAAACAACTTCTTTTGGTGGCGGCTGGCGATCGACGCGACGAGGGACGAGTCCAACCCCCCCGATAGCAACACACCCCACGGCACATCGGACATCATGCGTTTCGTCACGGCGGTCTCAAAGGCCTGGGAACATCCCCATCATATCGTGCTTCAAGGCCAGGAAACGAAGATGGAAGGATTAGTACCTCGCGCAACGTCGCTAGGTTGAGCGGCACCGTGCCAATGTGTCCTGGTTCCATCCATCCAGGGGTGTACCATCGTGTGAACTCTCCTGTCGTGCTCGTAAAGACATGTCCGGGCGGAAACAAGTCAAAGCGAACGCAGCCATGCTATGCATTCGTCATTGTCATCATCATCGCTATGTCGCGTACCTCCAAAGCTTTCATTTCGGACGCAAACCAGACGCTGCCGTCGGCGCCGTACCCATAGTACAGCGGCGTGATCCCCATGTGGTCGCGGGCAGCGATCAACACGTCCTTGGCGGAATCGTACAGGACGAACGAAAACATGCCGCGGAGGTGACGCAGAAACGCCGTGCCATGCTGCTTGTACAGCGGGATAATCACTTCACAGTCAGACTTGGTCTTGAACGTGTACGGCGTCTGCAACGTCGCCATGAGTTCCTTGTAGTTGTACACTTCGCCGTTCACGGCCAACGTGATCGTGCCGTCGTTGCTCACGAGCGGCTGCGCGCCGGATTCAGGGTCGATGATCGCCAATCGTTCGTGTTCGATGGCGATGCCCTTGGGCAGGATGCGCACGCCGTTCCAGTCCGGCCCGCGGTGTCGGATCCTACATCGAGATAGTGAGCGCCGTCGTCCTAGACGAAGCCGCATGCCACGTACTTCTTTCCTGCATCCAAGATAGCTTTACGCAGGTCGTCGTTGTTCAGCATGGACGCATAGATCGCTACGATGCCGCACATGGTGTCTGTCTTCTAATGGTCAGGGAAAATCCAAAATGCGATCTTGATCTCCATGGTAGTCGACATCGGGGCGCTTCGGCGCCCCGCGTCAATGCATCCATTCAATAAAGTTTCCAATTCATACAAACTACAAGTGACTTGACACCTTTCAAGTTTACTTAACTGCATCATATACAAAATGTCAGTGTTTCGGACTATCGATACTTTTCCGAATGTTTTGATTCTTTGATTCACATACAATTTCCAAGTGAACTTCGACAGGATAGTTTTCCCATTCATTCGTCCAACTTCAACTTCAAGAGGTAGTACAACTATTATGGGTGCGACTAAGTATTTCAGAGCACCGCGCCCCGTCATTTTCCCATGGTGTTGGTCCCACAAGAATATTTCCGTGGAAAGCTCTCTTTGTGCATGCGACGATGGCACCATTGAGGTTCGGCATAGATGCGAAGGGCGGAAGGTTCTGATGCCACCAGAAGTGCGTGCCCATCGTCACCCTCTCACGGGTGCTAACATGTGCATGGACGGACCACGACCACAATCAACGAAGAGCCACGAACAACCCTGGCATGCTGCATGTGCTCCCACTTGGTAGAAGCTGCTGTATGGCACGGCATATAATCGCATTGTGTTGCCTCCATTGTGTCTGAAGTTGCAAAGCAATCATCATGTGGGCGTGCCACGTATTAATAGCGTCCAATCCCTCTCCCGGGTCAGAAAATATGAACATCGTCGCAGCATTTTATGCCCATGGCAAAGAACGGAACGCCTAAATTTACTTTGGCATTGCCAGCCACGGCTGCATAACCACATTCTATCGAGAGACTCGAGAGGGGGGGGAATGCCGCACCTTCGCCATCAACATCACCGCCCGCCGCCGCCGCCTCTTCCGTCTCGACCGTCTTCGCATGTCATCCACCCACTCGCGTGGACTTCAGACATGCTGCACTTCTTTAGCAAGCGCAGCTCCATCGACTCGAACCCGTCGTCAGACGACGGCACGAGCTCCGTCGACGACGCCTCGTCAACCTCCAAGCTGCAGCAGAAGCAGCAGTATATGTTCAAGTCGGTGGCCGTGCGCCGCTTGTCCCAACATCGCCTTCTTCTAGCCGCCGAGCCTCATCACAAGTCTCGTCTTCCGCCTTCTCACGTCGTCGACGACGACGACACGGGCCTGCCGACTCTAACCTCATCGTCGTCGCTCCGCAGTACCTTCCTGCTTGACGACGAGTTCCAGCCCACGTCAGTGGACTGGAATCCGCATTATCCGTGGTTTCGCGTGCTCACAGAGATCGTGGACACGGAAACCAGCTTTGTCGAAACATTGCATACGCTGCACCAGGTGTTCAACCATGTGTTCCACGACACGCACAGGTACACGCACGGGTCGTTGCTGGCGCTTCGGTCGGCGACCGCGGCGCTTCTGACACTCCACACGGACCTGTGCACCGACCTCCGTCGCCCCGCGGACATGCTGCATCTACGTCAGGACACGCTCCATCTCGCCAATGCGTTTCAATCGCACCTGCCCTACTTTAAGCTGTACGCCCACTACTGCCTCGCGTACACGGACGTCAGCAGCCTCCTCCTTCGCTTGCATCAACGAAAGCAACACAATACAACGCTCAAAAGACAACAACACACGACCCAAGTCGATGAGTTTCTCGCGGCGATCACTGCCGCCGCGCACGTACTCCAAGTGGACCTCCAGTCGGAAATGATCAAGCCCGTTCAACGGCTGTGTCGGTACCCTCTGCTCATGTCGGAGCTCCACCACCACGCCATGTCGCATGCTGGGTGCTTGACGGACACGCTGGCCATACTCGTTCGGGATACCAAAGTCGTCGCTGCTTACGTGAACGACCGCGTCCAAGCCGACACGAACAACGCCAAGTTCTTGCGGTTGAGACGAAAGCTCACCCTCGGATTTGGATGCCCCGAGGTGATGGTGCCCGCTCGGCAGTACGTGACCGAAGCCGCGGTGCACGTCGCGTCCTTGGTGACAGTCGTGCCGTGGAATATGTGGACTGCCAAGCCCCAGACCCTCGTGCTGCTCTCAGATGTGTTGCTGATCACCAAGCGGCGACGGCAGACACGGTTGCAGGTAGGAATGTTGGTCGTGATGATGGTTGTTCTGCAGAAAGTTGGTATGAGCAGTTGAAAACGATTGATTGATTGGAGAGATGAGGCTCATATATGGTGTGCGCTGTGGCTTGATGTAGGTGACCAAGCTGCTGCCGCTGGTGATGGTGTCCGTGGAGGAAGTAGATGTGATCGAGTTTCCCAAGTGGAGTCGCGCCAAGTGCTTTGTGTTGCGCTACAAGTAAGCTACCAGTGCCTTTTCTTGTGATAACGTGTTCGTGTGGTGATTGATTATGACGTGTTATGGCACAGGACAGAGAGCGGGTATGCCAGTGGAGGTACCATCATGATGATGCAGGGCCACGTCAAGACGTATGTGGTTGTGTGCGACTGCGAGAAGAAGAAGATCGAGCTGCTGAGCTTGTTTCGGGAAACGTTGGCCCAAGTCGTGGACGCAATGGTGATGCCGCCGCCGCCGTCGGTCCAGCAACCGTTCACATTGCGCCACACGCGGCTCCCGTCGAGTGTGAGCGCCGTCTAGTTTTGTGATTGTACTTCGTTTAGGACGTGTACTCTATTTTGGTGTTGGTCGATTGCAGAATGTATGTACATCCCTACAGAATGATGGTGTCGTGGGGACGACCCATTTACTACTGTACTATTAATAGTTAACCTAGTTACAGTGTATCAACACCGGTAGTTTCAACTTCGACAGAGTGTAAAGATGTAGCCCGACCAACATGCCCACTAACGATATAATACTACGTAGTAATACATGCACAGGAACCATCGCTCCTGTGTCCAGTCGAAGTGATGACAACATCAATAATGGAGTAATACCCATCACTCTAGTTTGAGCCTGTGTGGTTCTGAGTAAAACTCAGAGCCAATCAAAACGTCGTATTTTGAATTCTACTGCCTCATTTGCAAACTCGATTGACTACAGTAACCATAAAATACTATTAATAACGCTACCTATTATTAATAAAACCTAGTACAGTAGTATTATTAATAATACTACTGACTGTAAAATGAAATGAAATTACGCGGTACATACTGGCATTTCCAAGCTCTCTGTCGCCCAGTCTAGCGGATGGAGCTCTTGTGCACGTTCACACCAGGGTGATCCATAGATAGTACTACTACTCACGTATAGCAGTATATTTCAATCCAGTTTGGCTGCCACAGGCCAACTTACTTATTCACGGATCTCATGTACTGTACAGCCGCCGTGATTTGACTTGTATACTATTCATAACTTCATACTAGTAACGTAAGTAGTACTAGTACTTACTTCTTGCTGTTCGTACTGAAGTAGTAGTAGTAGCGCCCCTCCACATGCAAGCATTCCATATTTATTCAACCAGCGTCCTTGTTACATCATATGCCCCCGAATGACTGGGTTATTCGGACTTGAGCTTGTTCTTTTCCGCATCGGTCAGCGTCTTTCGCTTCACGCGGCTGTACGCGCTGATCGAGTCGTCCAAAACGTAGTCGAAGAGGACCCCCACCCACGACGACGTCTGCGGCAGCGTGTCGTAAAACTCGGGCGCCATCGCCTTGACGGCAGGCAGGCGGCTACCCGGGACGAACGGGAAGTCGTGGTGTTCGTTGTGGTAGCCCACGTTGAACGTGACAAGGTTGAGCAGGCCGTAGTACGAGTACGTTTCCGCGCCCTTGACAAACACGTAGTGCTCCGAGATGAAGTGGCCCGCGCAAGGATGAGGTCCGGCGCCCAAGACGGTGCTGGCCAGGCAGTAGCCGAGCCCGGACGCGCCGCAAAAGTGGTAGATCGCATAGTTGTATGCAATGCACGACGCGTAGTTGACAAATTCCCAGAAACCAGGGGTCTTGGGGTTCACAAACAGCGGACGCAAGCTGTAGAAGAACGCTTGCGTGAACACGAAGATGAGCTTGGTGATCTTGTTGTTGAAGATCTTGCCCTCCAACACCGTGGGGATGTCCACGTCGACGCCGTCTTCGCCTTGGTATCGATGGTGTTCCATGTGGTAGCGTTTGAACGAGCTATGGACACATCGTCAAGTAGTCAGTCATGAGGGAGTACATGAAGGGAATATAGAAGAGTGATCGTACATGGCAGCAGGCACGCCCATCGGCATGTTTGCAATCAACGACAGGATGCGATTGTACACGGGCTTCTTGAAGCCCAAGTTGTGCGACAACTCGTGCATCGCCATCATCATCATGTGGTTAAACGTTCCACCAACGATGTACGCGACAGCCAACCACACCGCCCAGCTCTTGTCCTTGGTGACGTACGCCATCAACGTTTGCACGGTCACGGCCACCACTACGTAGTACTTGGTGCGGGGGCAATGACCAAAGAGCGACTTGATCTGAGGGTACTTGGCCGTGATCAGCTTTCGCCGAGTCGCATGCGGCTCGTCGGTCTTTTCCCAGTAGAAGTCCGTGCGCGGCTCCACATGAGTCGCGAGCTTTGGCGCGTTTCCTCCCTTGCCCATCTTGGTCTCCTGTCGCCCAAATCCACAAATGAACGAGGAAATATAATGGTTCTCTCGCTCCCTCTCCTTGTAAAGTACGAAGTCGATTGACGCCCTGGTAAGTTCGTTTACGCCATAACACGGACCATAGTCATTCATAGAGTTTTCCGCCTGCAAAGCGCACTTAACGAACCTGTTTTCTTTGCTGCGACACGTTCACCTAAGTACGACTTGTCTTTGTTGACCGTTTTTTTTCGGGTTGCCCGAATCATGTAAGCCACCTTATTGCGTATATTCTAACATATCATTCGGAGGAGTTGAGGAGATAAAGGCTTGATCATAAACCGACACTTTGGGTGACTTGTTTCGATACGAAAAGCTAGTTTAATTTTGCATTGAATTTGTAGATAAAAATTTCAAAAAATCCTTGTTTCGAACCATGTGTAACGAAATGGATGGTCGATCCAATCAAAAGCCGCGCTGCGTTTCTGCATTTCGATGCCGTGTCATTGTGTCCGCCGCGCGTCGTGTCGTTGCGACCACCCACGTCACAAGGACACAAGCCAGAGGAAGCAGAAGGAAGCAAGTGTATAGAGCCACAAGGCATGAACAAGCGCGCGAAGAAGATGTACTTGGGAAGTTCCATGAACACTACCGTCGATGACGTTAAATTACTGTTTATAATTGGACAAATACGACAAGTCCGACATTTGACGGTGCGGCTGCGTGACGTCGGAGGGCGTGGCAGACAAGTTGGACTTGGCCGACACGGTGGAGTGCCCCGATTGGTTGGACGAACGATTCGACTTACTCGACTTGCGCGACTTGGCCGAGCTTGCAGTGTTCAACGGCGACGACGACACGCCTGGTCCGCGGTGCATGACATCAGTCAAGTAGGACAGATCGCAAAGCGAATCGCTCTTGTGGTTGCGGTTCGCCAAGTCCTCAGTCGAGACGATTGCGGGGGCGCGACGCATACTTTGGAGTCCCGAGAAGGTAGCCGATGCAGTTGCCGTCGACGACAACGATGCCTTGGGCGTGAATACGCCATGAGGAACGATATCCATACGCCGAGGAGTCGACAAGCTGCCGTCGGTAGTCAGTCGACGGGGGGTCGTGGTTTTCTGGTTGAAAATGTTGTCCGTCGACATTTTGCGTTCTGGTGGGTGAAAGATTGAGCGATGCTCCGTACTCGGGGTCCGCACACGACCGTCGAGGCGTTCGACGCTCATGGTGCGACTTATACGGCCATACTCGTCAGAGACATAGGAGGACGTGTGGGTGGTTGACGACTTGACGGGGGTCGCGGCGGGGAAGTGGAATCGGTTAAAGTTCAACGTCGTCTTGGTCGACGACGGAGGTGCCGCGGCATGTTCGATTTGAAAAATATGATGGTGATGCCGCTAATGCAACATGAAACCGTCAAGATTTCGAAAATTCGAAAATTCCCAAAACTGAGATGAAACGGCCAAATAATTTCGAAAAAGTCGAATAATACCTGGGAGTCCATTCCATCGTAATTCGAATGGCTTTGGTTGCTGACGCTGTGGACGCCCGATATGGCGCTGTTCGCCTCATATGGAGCGAACCGTCCACCGCCAAATGCCGGGTGGATGTCGCGGAGGCACGAGTGACACACACGATCGCTGCCCCTCGTGAACCCGCCGGGCTTGTCTTCGTTGGAGCACCGCTTGCACACGGTCTGCTCGCACATGCGACATGTGATCTTGCGTTGGAACAGAGCAATGCCGCCCTTGAACCCGCGACTGCAGATTGCACACGTGTCGTTGTCTTGAAGGATCGCCTGATGGTTCACCGACGCGCCGTTGCCGATCAAGACGTGGATCTCCTCCATGCGTCGCACGCGGCGTTTGGTTAACGACTGCAACAACTTGGATTGAGCCATTCTGCCCGGCGCGCCGTAGTCAAAGTAGATGGTGACGCGGAGAATGCTCGGAATGTCCGTCTCTGTCACGACATATCTGCACGAAACTACCCGTGAGCATGATCCGACCAAAATGTCGAGGACGTACCCCGAATGATGCACTGTCGCCCGGACAAAGTTGTTGGTGTGGGTGAGTGGAGGACACGACGCGTGGGGGACAGAGTGGGAGCACATGGCGAACCCGCGCTTGCCATTTTCGTCAATGTATTCGTCCAGGTACTACAAGAAGGAAATCGCCGCATGAGACCGCGACCGTCCAAGATGGAGATCCAACAACGTCATACCTCGATGGTGCAAAAGTCGCGGTCCCGTACCAACATGCGCATCGGAGACTTGATGTGGCTCCACCTCAACCCTGTGTAATGGAATGGCGACAATGCCGTGGGCATTTCAATCGCGTGCAATCTGGCGGTGGATTCGAGGCAGTAGAGCTCCGCGGCGATCTTTTGGTGGGCGGCAGAGTCCCCAGATGATACAAGACGCACGCAAAAGTGGCCGATTTCTTCCAGGCTACCTGCAATGTTGATGGTGGAGCCATACGCGTGCTTGTCCGCGCCCATCTTCGCAACATGGCCACGTTACCGGGAAGGAGCGATGCATGTACATACCTCTTGCGCGGCGAGTCGTCGGATAAAGCGAGTGGTTTCCAGCAACTTGGAAAACGACGCTTTGCCGATGTCGCTGAGCATCTGGCATTCAGACGGCGACAGCGGCGCCGCGTCGAAGAAGGACGTCGGGTCCCGCTGTGTTCGCGCCATGAAGGGGAAGGTACCGAGATTGCGTGATGAGGAGGGACGTATATCTGCGGCGGCGGCGCGGCGATGGTATTCAGCACACGAAGTACGAGGTGTGGTGTACCAACGACTCTGGCAATGACATGACCTGGCACTACAGTACGATGGAGTCGACTTGTGTTACGTTCGCTGCACCCATCAACACTTGAGCGGTTCAGCCAATCATACGTCGTGATTCACATGAATGCCATTATTTTTGACCAATCATATTGCATCCCGTGAAATCGATCGGCTGAAGTCCCACGCAGTCGTCGTGGTAACGGCTTTTTTACACGGTAGTCACGTGCGCAGTTGTTTCATATTATCTCAAGTTCACATATAATTCTGAAATTCGCTTTTCTTGCCTAACGTAAAGAATGACGAGGTTGATATATTCATTAGGTCAAAAAGTCTACAGTTATTGACGCTGCACGATGAAAGTTATTTGTAGCGGCTGGTATACTAAATATGGCTGCGATGGCCTGGCTACGTTGTTGGATTCTGGGATGGAATAAAAGTTATTCACAGCAATAGATACAATACATGTAATGTACCAAGGCGAAAGTTCCGTAGATCTGCTTTGAGTAACTCGAGTATGTATATACATGTACTGCACACTGTACATATCTTACAGCAGTACACTACAACATACTGTACTGCTTGGCGAAGCAGTTCCATAACATGTGGTTCTAGTGTCGGCCCTCGCGGAGGAATGTCTTAAAAATGATAATCCAAACTCAATTAACCAACATACTGTACTGGGCACAGCATGACATCGGCTGGCGACAACGTCCACAACAATTGCATTTGCTTTCTCTCCCGTACATTTGCAATCTCACGACGGCTGATCATACATACGAGTACAGTACTACCAGTCCATTGTCCTGTACTCAATTCAGAAATTTATGTTAATGCTCAGAAGGACATACAGTAATGGACTACTGTACGTAGTATTACATCGAAGACTGTACAGTACAGCAAGTCATGGTTGCCAAAATAAACCGATGGAGAGGATAAAAAGAACATGAGGTCCTTTCTTGCGTCGTCATATAGGATGGTGTATTCTGATCGAAGCAAGCTGTGACAACTTGACCATCACGTGCCCAAGCAATCTCTTACACTCCGAATTGTACACATCACCACCGTAAACTGTTATTGTCATGTCGATTCGAAATTAGGGTGGTCAGAGGTGCGATTACATTTGATACAGTGTATAAAGTATTGCTGGCTATTTGGCCTTTCGACCGCGACGTTTCGCCCAAAAAATCACTCGAGGTCCTGTACTAAATATAACGTTGTCTGGAATCACCAATCTCGCACCGAGTGGGAAAACATAGCCGAGTCCACCGCTTGTTGATCGAACCCTTGCACGTAAATGGGCAAGAGGTTGTGTGTCAAGCCGCCGGATGCCTTCGGCACAACTCAAGGGGACGGCCACGACTTGCGGGGGAAGCGCACCACGCTGCCACCCCATGAGTTTCATACGTGGAACTACATCCAAGATCCGCGCAACGACCTTCATCCAGAGCTAGAGCTCGGCCTCCAGAGCACCCGCACGACTAAATTTACCTCTGGTACGTACTACAAGAAAAAGCTACCCCTCCTGATCCCGTTTGGTTGCAGGCTTCTACCGGCGGTCGCGCACGGCCATCGCGCCCGACCGAGACCGACTCGCCCGACAAGCCGAGAAAGACAGAGCCAGCACCAGCAACGCCACCCGCCGCCACGAGCGCCTCACTAGTTTGAACTCGTCCTACGACTACAACATCGTCACAGGGTCAGCAGGGGCGATTCCCAAAGTACTCAAGTTGCCGCCCTGTCGAAAGTTCCTGGGCGGCGACACGAGCCAGTTTCTCCAACACGAGGGGGTTATCCAGTTGCGTGAATCCGCCAACCGGTTCTACAGGTGCGTTCGTGTCGCCCATTCGCAACAATGTCGCCAATTTGTTTGAAGAAACGGGACCAACAAAACTAATAACCCTTGCTACAATAGCCAGTGGCCAAACAACCCTGGTCGCACCGACAACTTGACGCGAGGTGCAACGCCGCCCTATATATATACCTTGTGTTTCGCATGTGCTGCTGCTTTTAGAATGGACCATGACCGTTGTATAAATGTCGTTGGCTTTGTGTGTTTCGTACTATTAGTATGGGCATGCCACGTCATTGGTGGTGTTATTTCAACGTTGTATGATGCGTTATAGAGGGGTTGTACGGGCAAAAGCAGTCGTCTGCCATTGGCATTGGCCGCCATGAAATCAAATCGTACGGCGCCGCGGATGCACTCAACAAGTCACTGTACAAGCAATGTGTGGAGCACAGCAACACGGCCATCCAACTCGAGTACACCCACGTCAAGCCCCCGCCCCCCGTTGTGCACAAAGTTGCTCCAGAACGACCCCATCACGCCTCTCCACATCGCCCCAAACCCACACCGCCGTCGTGGCTTCCCCCTGTGCACTCGTCTTTGCAACACCAGCACGACGCAGACTCTGTCCGCGCCTTAAGATAATCCCTTCAAGAGCTCGTTGTTTGCACCTCTGTACATATACAGTACTACTGTGTTACTATGTACACTCCGGCAACACTTAACGGATACTCTGGGTACAGTTCACGTTAGGGCTACAGTCATTTGGTGATACGTATGCTTGCTCTTGGTAACTACTAGTATGATGTTTCGACCACCAATTCGCTTGATGATCCAAGTAGTTCAGGATATCTAACGTTACACTCAACTCTTCACTCCACCGTTGAGATCACTGCAGGGTGTTCATATACTGAGTGCAATACCCCGCCCCCACCTCATCGTACTAGTAGTTATATCTATGCCTTTCACTAGGTATCTACCGGCAGCCAGTATTATATTTGATCTGTTGTACTGCAGGTTTCTTCCACCACCATTATGAACCGTTCACAAGGGCAAACATGCCAGCAAATATGAACGCACGAGTTGCAAGTGGGGGGTATTGGTGGGTTTAGTAGTCGTCATATCTGTGGTGGTGTTCCGCACTAGTCGACTACGAAAACTCGTTGAACGTGGAGCGGTCGCGCTTGGTTTTCGCCGCCGCCTTCTTCTTGGCTTCTTCTTCGCGGGCCTTCTTCACGCCCAACGACTCTTCCTTCTTCTTGCCCTTGGCCTTCTTGGCCAGCACGGCCTTGATGTCGACCACGACGGCAGGGGCGGCAGGGGCTTCCACCGCGGCTTCGACTGCAACAACGAGACCATGGACGCCTGAGGACGAGATATAGAAAAATGCGCACGCTTACCTTGAGGAGCGACAGGCGCGACGTGGGTGCCAGCAGCGGCTTTAGCCTTCTTCTTCTTCTTGGCCTTCTTGTCTGTGCTCGCGTCGGCGGTCTGTGCAGGGGTTTCTATCGGGGAACAGGCATGAATACTCCATGGATCGATCGCTGTACATTCACGTACCCGTGGTGAGACCCAGTTCGGCCAGCGCAGAGTCCAAGTCGTCCAACTCCTTTTGCTTCTGTTCCTTCTTGGACAAGATGGGCGCGGCGACGGCAACCGGCTTGGCAACGACAACAGCAGCGGGCTTTGTGGTCACTTCCTCCTCCTCTTCGTCTTCGCTTTCGCTCTCGCTTTCGTCGTCGTCGGCGACAGCTTCACCTTGTTGGGCAGACAAGGCTTCCGCTGGTGTGAGGGGCATCGACAGAGACGTCACGGCCCCGACTTCTTCGTCATCACCCCACGAGGCAGTTGCCTGGCCGGAGAACATTTGCTTGGGAAGGACGGGGGCGGCATGCGCAGGCAACAACGTCGCCTTCTTTGCGGCCTTCTTGGACAGCGCCGTGAAGACGTTCGTATTGCTCATCGCGACTGGATTTGGTTGGTAAGCAAAGGACAGGTTGACAACGTCGTGATACCTCCCCAAAGCAATGGACCAATCCGGTGCCTCAAAATGCAAATTCTACAGTCTGATTGGTGGGATAAAACACGCGTTTCAAACACTGATGTCAAATGGTGGAAGTAAATGAAAATATATCCGTATAACCACGTCGTTGATCCGGATAAGTCACCTCACGCAGTATCTCGAAGCGACACTTCAGCCACACCGACATGCCGTTGTCAGCGCGGCACGTCGTGGTGTTTTCAGAGTTGAGTCCCGAGCAAAAGCAGAATTACACCAAGTTTATCATCGAGCACAACGTCAAAGTAATAACCAACTCTCCAATCTCACACTATTCGACGTTGAAGCATCCCATTACATGATGCCAACTTATAGTTTGGTCGTAACAAAGATGGGCTGTACGTGGCGTCCGTGTCGTTAGGCAGTGCCGCATTTGCCCATGCTGCGGAAGAAGCCAAAGTTCAGCCGCCTCTGGACAAGACCACCCTCAGTGCGGACGAGCGCAGCAGCGACATGCCAGCCAGCATGAAGCGATACGCCAGCTTGTACTGCCTCATCGAGGCCCCGCCACCAGTGGCTGCGTCCAAAATGTTCTTGTCCGATGTTCACTTGGCCAAGACCATTCATGACATCTACGACGCTCGATGGGAGGACGCGCGGCGCGATGTAATTTGGACATGAAGGCAATGACGGTGATGGTAATGACTGGGCTGTTGTGTAGACTCCACACCCGACTAGTCGGGACGAAGCGACCCCCTTGTTTGCCTTGTTTGTGCTTCATCACTTTCAAACGCGGTTTGGACTGGTATATGCTTACTATAAGTTATGAAGAACATTCATTGACATAAACAACAAATGAAAAGCCCAAGCTCGTGGCCCAGAACGCCGTGGACTTGATGCAGGCCTTGCACGCCAACAAGAACGTATGAAACGTGTTTGAAACAACATGTATTTCGTTGGTCTGGGGCGGATATTTCACGACATGTTTCCTTGTGGTAGCGGCTGGACACAGAGATCTTTTCGTGCTTTTTGGATGGCACGTACCCCGACGACGCGTTAGAGTTTTACCTTTTTGCTCGCCATCAAGTTGTGGTACGATGATCTGGTAGATACAGAACATGGCGAATTATATATATATATATATATATGTATGTAGGGATGATACAATTTATAGTTGGAATTGGTAGATTCATGTTGACGTGTATGTCTGTAAACAGGTGCTGTTGACCAAAGATACATTGGGGGGTAAATTCAAGTACGTTTGTACTCAAATGTTATAGTTTTCCTGTGAAGTAATATATCTAGGTAGTTTAACGATTCGTTGTGTAGCTTAAGCAAGGACAGCACGTGGATCTCCAAGGCGCAGTGTTTGGTCGCCGCCAACGCCGTCTTTGGCTCGCGCCTCGAGCCCAGTTATCTTACCGTACGACTCCATGACGAACTGGCTGTGTGCTCATGCATACAATGTTGAAGTTTCTTCGTAAGCTGAAACGACATTTGACGGCGCAGCCCGCCTCCCGCGCCAATACCCATATCATCGAGGTCATTACAGGACCTGTGACGGGGTTGAGTGAAGGCGTGATCCAGAATATGTAGATGAATGAGTTTCTTCTCTTGGCATTGGAAACGTTCCAAGCTACGCACGGGGTTGTCGTCGACACAGCAGCAGTACGTCCAGTGAGACTTCACCTGGCAATAACCTTATCGTAGCAGTCCACCACCACGCCCGTGACCAAGGCATTGGAGACAGTCGTCACGTCAAACCCCAACCAGCGTAAGCTAGCCACAACAGCAACAACTAGTAGTACATGCCACCTCACACCACGGCAGATGATGGAGACGAACAGAAGCGGTTGGAAGCCCTCTTGCACCGCGTTCGCGCAAGACAACTGGAGCATGTACGTGAATGAGATAGGATGGAAGGAACTAGACATTCAGGAGATGTAGAATGGTCAGTCCTCGTCCGAAGCAGCCTTGAGTCCGAAGGTTGCCGCCATGGTGTGGCCCACTTGCACGCAGTAAAGACAGCTTTGACATTCTACGCACGTCACTTGAACTTGCCCACAAGACATGAACAGTGCGATCGTAATAAAAAAAGCCATTCCATTTTCATTAATGCGATAAGTCCTTCATACAAACACGCCTTCATTTATATTAGTTTGGTTTATTCTTGTACTCCGGAGTATTTAAATACTCGGGGTATTTTCGAGAAGGATGATTGGCTCGATTGCAACCAATCAACAGCCACGAGTTACTCACCAGCGCCAGCGATCTTTCAAAACTCAAAGCGTGCATCTCGTGCGATGATGATGCTTGGTGTCATCGTACTGCTCTCGACAACGCTCGGACTAGTGTCATCCTCCTCGCACCGCGCGGCGGTGCCGCAAACCTCGAAGCAGCGCTGCTTCCCCGATGACTTCCTCCTGGGAACGGCCACGGCCGCGTACCAAGTAGAAGGTGGGTGGAACCTCACCGGTCGCACGCCGAGCATTTGGGACGACTTCTGCCGCAGCCGGGACAACGTCCAGTGCGCCAACGTCGCCGACGACATGATCCATCGCTATGTGAGCGACATTGCGATCATGCAGGCCATGGGTCTGTCGTCGTTTCGGTTCTCGATCTCGTGGTCGCGGGTCATGACCTGGCACGACGCGACACAACGCATGGTGCGCAACGACGCAGGCATCGCCTTCTACCACGACCTCCTGGACGCGATGCGCGCCGCCCAGCTCACGTCCGTCGTGACGCTGTACCATTGGGACCTCCCGTCCGCCCTGCACACGCACATGAACGGGTGGTTGAACGCGTCCATCGTTGGCCATTTCAACCAGTATGCAGAGTTGATGTACGACGAGTACGGTGCCAAAGTAGACTTTTGGACGACTTTCAACGAGCCCTGGTCGTTCTGTGTGGGCGGCTACGGCGGCGGCTGGCATGTACGTCCTTGTCTATTTGGATACATGGCTACAGTACTCCACAGCTTGCCACATCATATTGCCTTTCTTTTACCCCAAACACATTTGGCTGACTTTTGTGCTGATTCTTTGCCAACTCTATGTCGATCCATTCTCAATTGTACTGAATCATCTTGGATGTCCTGTGGTGCTTGATACATCACACTAATTGAACTCACACACTAATTCCACCATGACGATAATGGTTTCCTGCAATCTGAATGGCTAAATCCTGCTGCCGATGATTCACTTCAGTATTGGGTTGTGTTGTCGATTCATGCTCGCTCCAGTTTCGAATAACTATTCACACAACCATCACACGTGTAGGCACCAGGCATCAGCGACTCGGACACGGCAACGTACGTGGCCGCCCACCACGTGCTCCTAGCCCACGCCACCGCCGTGCAAACCCATCGATCCAAGCATCTTACATCCAAGATTGGCATCACCCTCAACTCGGACATGGCCCTGCCGCTCGATCCGACCGACGACCGCGACGTCGAGGCCGCCGAGCGCAAACTCCAGTTCTCCCTCGGGTGGTTCCTCAACCCGATCGTCCATGGCGATTACCCCGCCGTGATGAAACGGCGCGCCGGCCACCGCCTTCCCCGCTTCACCGCAGCCGACTCGGCCTTGCTCACGCAAAGCTACGATGTGTTCATGTTGAACCATTACTCGACCAACGTTGTCACAGATTGCGCGTCGACCACGTACGTACAGGACGTGTATATGTTGGACACAGTATTCATATGTGAATTGTATGCCATGCACAGTCGGGCTTTGGATATACGTACGTTTACTATTAATATTTGGTTTTGATTTTTTATATTTATTAATAATAGAAAAACGTTATGTTGGCTAGTCCATGGATTCTAGTTACGTGTGAGTGTTCCTTTTTTATTTTATTTTATTTTTAAATATATTTTCAAATAGAACTACCGAGACTAGATACATGATGATATTTCGATATTTGGTAGGTCTACCGTAGACTGTGCGTCGCTAGCTCAAGGGTGGAATCGAGACTTGGGCATCGACGGCGTCCGCATCCCCGTCGGCGCGCGCCCAGGCAATGTCAACACCAAAGGGGAACCCCTCTGCAGTTGGTTCAACGGTACACAATATATATATATATATTTATATATATATGTAGAAACTATTGTGAATTCGCTATAAACTTGCAAAATTCGCGTGGTTTGTCTAACGTTAATCAATACTGAATCACGCTGGAGTTGTGATTGGTTGAATATACTTGACCTTTCTGTAAGAGCCAATTGAATCTACTCATAATTGGATTAGCCAATAGCGTCAATTCGTGACTATTCGATTCGGTGGTATGTGTTCTGAACATTTGTACCGAAAAATCCACAATATTTGTTCCAGTGTATTATACGACTGGAAATATCAAGGTATATAATATATATATATATGTATATTTTTTGAGGTGCGTGTTGTACGGCTGGAAATATAACTAGGTATACACTATATATACATACACATATTTATTTCAAGTCGATACAATTACGTTTACGTTCAAATATGCTTGGTACGCACGACGGACCATATCGAGGTCAAATACATACATGTATTATTTGTACAACAACGTAGTAGCTAGTGTCCATATATATATATATATTTATGAACATCCGTTGTATCCAAGACGAGTACAAAAATGATATGTGTAGGGTACCCCCAAGGGTATTTGCCGCTCATTCGGTGGATGCACGCGTTTAACAAGTCGGCGCCGATCCTCCTCACGGAAAATGGCTGGTGTGGCCACAACGTGGTGGACAACCCAGATCAGCTGTGGTACTTTGAGTCATATTTGGCCCAGGTGTGGCTTGCAGTGGCCGAGGGCGTCCCTGTGATTGGCTACACGGCGTGGTCTTTCGTCGATAACTACGAGTGGGGCTCGTTCGACCCGCGATTTGGGCTGTTTCACATCGAATTTCCCCCTGAAACTGGAACCGTCGACGGATTTGAGCCGAAATCCACCGATTTGAAACGGACCGCGAGGCCCGCGGCGACCTGGTACGAGAATGACGAGGAAATAGCTGTCTTGATATGTTCACATTTCATGGAGCATATGTAGCTGTGTGCTTGATGGACTAGTTATATATATATATATATATGCTTCATGGAATGTATATGTTTCGTGGAATATATATATATATATAATCTACTTCATCGAATGTATATTTGTGTATATGTATAATATATATATATGCTTGATTGAATGAAGATCATGAAACTATATATTGTCCTTTTACCCAAAATTTGGACTTTTGTGCTGATTCGCCAAATTTATTGATCGATTGTTTGTCCTGTCTTTTGTATGTAAAGATCGTCCAGTATCACACTAATTTCAATCACACACTAATTCGATGTTGAATTATTCGAAGAGTGGATTTGATTGGCCACTTGATTAGTGTTCTGGTTTTTGATTGGTCGATATATCGATTGTCTGTCTATTTGGTTAGTCTGCTCATTCGATTGAGCACCTAAACACTCCAATTTCGAATCGCCTTGACAATATTATATATCGTTTCATGTATAGCTGTGTGTATGATAGTAGCATATCTATATATAGTGTGTGAAATGGAAACACTAATGTGTACTACCATTGAAATTCTACTATGATTGCTGTGTACATGTGCAAAACGGATGAGTTGATGAATGATATATATATATGAACTAAGGATGTGTTAGGTATGGCCAAGTCGCGTCGACCAAGTGCTTTCCGCTGGACGAACAAGCCCAAGGGCCGACACCATCGACGGACCCGTTGACGTCGTCGACGACATCGCACTGGGTGCAAGGCGCCGTGACCGTTGGGTTTGTGGGTCCGATGCTCGTTGCTGTCATGGCTCTGGCGGCGCTCGTGTATCGCAAGCAGCAGCAGCACCGTTCAAGCGAACAAGCTGGAGAAAACTCCCCCCTCGTGCCCAAACACTGATAACAGGGTTGTGGTATCTATCCTACAGGCAGTAGTTGAGTAACTAAACGTTAGTTAATCAATGCACACGAGTATGTTGGGTCTGCATAACCGAATGCCATTGCAAAGCCACACTACTACTGTACGTACTACTCCAAAGTACACAGTACATATACTATCAAAAACAGCAGCATTCTGGGATTGAATGTGGAATGCTGCGATACGGCACTAGTATATATATATATCCTATGAAGCATAAACAAATATATTGCGCACGACTGTCTTTTTAAATGACTCGGACGGCGTCCATGTACACAAGTCGCATCGAAACCTGTAGCTGTAGCTCGAAATGTGATAGTTTTATTGTCATACAAGTATATACTTCGAAGTATGTATATATATTATATATATATACATATTGTCAAGTTGGTTCGTAATTGGAGGGGGGGTGCTCAATCGAATGAGCAGCACCAAATCGGCAGAGAATCGATCGACCAATCAAGACCCAGATCACGAAAAAAGTAGCCAATCAAATCCACTCTTCGAATAATTCAACATCGAATTAGTGTGTGATTGAAATTAGTGTGATACTGAACGATCTTTACATGCAAAAGTCAAAGAATCGATCGATCGATTTGGCAAAGAATCCGCACAAAAGTCCAAATATTGGGTAAAAGGACAATATATATTGTCAAGTTGGTTCGTAATTGGAGTCGCGAGTAGAATAGACTTGGCAAATCGATTTGAGAATAAACTAGCCAATCAAAATCCATTCTACCCCTCCGCTTTACAAGATTTCTGAATGGTTCAGCCAAAGAACCATTGCAGATTGAACTGCCTATAGTGAATGCCAAGTTCATTCAATAATGGTTTCACTTTTGAACAGTCCAAATTTGCGTGAGAACGACAATATACCCTGAGATATGCTATGTTTTGTACAATATACCCTGAGATATACTATGTTTGTACAATATACCCTGAGATATACTATGTTTGTACAATATACCCTGAGATATACTATGTTTTGTACAATATACCCTGAGATATACTATGTTTTGTACAATATACCGTGAGATATACTATGTTTTGTACAATATACCGTGAGATATACTATGTTTTGTACAATATACCGTGAGATATACTATGTTTTGTACCAATTATATCGGGATGTGTTATGGGCATACACTTTATTGATGAACACACCAAGTGGTATTATGTGGTTGGTATAATGGTATATTATTGAACGCTAGACACTATTTTGGCTGGATATCGACTTGGTCGTGAATGGCTTGCCACGCCGTTGAGATGGCTTTGGCTGCCGCGTGGTCTTGCGTCCACTCGTGTGATTGGTCCACTGGGTCTCTAGCCATCGTCTCCAGCTGCCACGTCACACGCTGAATCTCTCTTTCGCACCGGTCCAAGCTCACTTGGTAGTCGCTCAACGCAATGCGCACCTTCCACGCTTCAAAGTCTTGCGCGTACACCAGCACGGCATGCAGCACCCCACATATCCCAAACAAGACACTAGCCATCACGAGCATCCACATGAGTCCCCCCATGTTGTAGAACTGCGTCCATGTCCGTTGTACGCTCCACGAATATGGCGGACATGACGGACGGGGGACGACAGGGGGGGAAGATGATGGCGAAGGTGACGATGGAGGGGGGGGGGCAGAAGTGAAGGATGCAGTGGCTCGTTGCAGAGGGGAATGCTGCTGCTGCTTGGGTTTTCGAGGTTGGGATGGGAGCGGATTGGACGATGTTCTTGGGCGACTAACCCTGTGCACTTCGTCGTATAGGTCGTTCTGAATCGTGGTCATGTGCTTGGTTGAGTTGATCTGGTCGATGGTGTCTTCGTTGGTCGAGTGTCTCACATCGTTGCCGTCGTCGTCGTCATGATGGATGGACGACAACAGGTCCGACTCGTCGAGGGCTTTCTTTCCAATCTCGGAAAAGTGTCGTCGTAGTGGAAGTCGTTCTTGGGCTCGACGTTTCTTAGCTAGTTGCTGCCTCGAGGATGATGTTGGAGGGGGTAACCGGTACGTGTCACGAGCCCACAGCTTGGCAAGGCGGCGGCTATCTGGCATCGCAGCCACATACCGGCGTTTCGTAGCAACATCCCAGTGCGAACGCCACAGCACAAGCAGATGTTCGTGGTCGAGAGCAACTTGCATAACAACTGCCATCTGTTGGCGCAACGGATCGCGAAAGTGCTCGAGACATTCCAGTATCACGTGGAGAAGCATGTCATACTGATCCATTTCCATGAGCAGGAGTGCGGACGGACCGTCCACAACTGTGCGAAGGACATGGTAATACATTTGCCGCATACGACCTACGCGACAACAGGTGAGGCCAACGAATAATACGAAGAAACACATGCGACAAGGTGGAGGAGGGACTGTACCGTCCAAGGCAATGTGAGGCACAAAGCACTCGGCGATGCATGTGACGTCGAAGATGGCGAACCGCGCCACCGACGCGATGCACTGACTCTGGGAACATTTCGTGTCGTGAATGAGTGACGTGATCACCGCGACGAGCAGCGGGCGGATATGAGGCAGGCCCACTTCTGTCACGACACTCGTGATGAACTCAAAGCCTTCCTGCACGGCCAGAGGATGAACATGCACGAGAATGGCCGCCACGGGTCTCTGCACTCAAAGAATGGTGACTGATATGACTGGTCGACATCGCGTAACATACCGCCAAGGGCACGATGCGACGGGCGAGGTCGCTCCGGTCGTACGTGCTACCCGACGCTTGAATGTAATCGTGGATTTGTTTCTTCCAAATCTTGATCCGATCGGTGGGATCCTTGGTGGATGATGCCACGGCGCTGCTGCTGGCACTACTGATGTTCCCCATCCATGTAGCAGCCGACGACGACGACGATGTCTCTAACTGGTTGCTAGTCTCTGCGAGATGGTGTAGCTGCAGATCTGACTCGTTGAGACGATCTCCAGTTGGTGCCATGGGAGCCTTCTTCGATGGTTCTCTGGGGACAGGGCGGCACGTTGTTGACAGACTGGCGGCGATTGTCGCTGTCAAAATCGAATTTGGCGTTTATCCGGATTATTTGGTTGATGGATTTGTAAATAAAATGGTTTGAATTCGTATTATTATTATTATTTGTAGAACAAGAGTAAACTATACTGGCTAAAAAATGTATTCAGCTCAACAAAAAAAAGCTGTGAAGTGTTTTGGAATATAACAACTCCCGCCTTCCGGATGATCAAATTCGCGAATGCATATGTCCCATGAGAACCGACCGCCGTCGACAGTGGAGGGATATGGAGGTGCCGGCAGTGCAGAGACACTAGAAGCAACCACTTGTATCCCCGGTCAGACACTTCCCAACCAATGACTCCACCTGTTCCACCGAGTAGGCCCATGCACCCCAGCCAGTGACAATGGCATTCCAACGCCATTGCAACATGCAAACTGTTCTGTCGACACACCCGACTTCCCGGCAAAACAAAGCGTGGGCAGCGTACCCCCGCCTACTTTTACGGTCGACACCATGATGGAGTTGCTTCGGCCCATTCCCAACGCATTTGAGTTGGACTTGTTCATGAAGACTTGTTCATGAAGGTTTCACGGTCGCACGAAATGGCGCAATGCCTTCCATTAGGACCAAGGGGTATTCACGATGATGTAAGTACTCGAAGAGGGCGTTCGCAGCATACTACGTACTAGTCGAATCGTATTACTTTCAAGGCATGGCAAACTATCTACATACTTGCTACCCAACGCAGGATGATGGTGTCTGTGAACAGGAGGGGTTGCGGAGGCTAAGGTTACCAATGGAGGAGGTCGCGAAAGCAGTAGGCGCAGAGCGCGACAAACACGACGGCGTTGATGGCCGGGATGTACGACCCCAACTGGGGCAGCTGCGCCGACACGTGCGCGAAACTCACGGCGGACGCCGCCAAGAACACAAACGGCACCATCAGCGTCAGCTTGGCGGGGTTGCTTTGGGGTTGGTCGGCCGTCGCCTTGTCGTAGTCGCGTTCCCATGCCTTGCAAGTCGATATGTAAACCAGCATAGACATGTGATGGTTGTGAGTTTATTCGACATGGAGAATTACACCAAATACATGTACACAAGAAAAAAATTGAGCACCCAATGAAACCATCTGTTCAAGAACGAAGTAGTGTGTGACTGAAATTAGTGTGTGACTGAAATTAGAATGTCACTGAAATTAGTGTGTGATGGATATCCCCGCTAGCATGTGTTTTACATACACAAATTCGGTACAAAAGTCGATCGATGGATTTGACACTAAAGTCCAAATTTTAACTGCACAATATATATATACACCCAAATTCGGCTGAAAGGACAATATATATATATATATACATATGCATGGCCAGGTGGTGTACCCGCCACATCATGCGCTCCTTGTTCCGCGACGGTCGGTGGATCACCTCGTGCATGAGCTTGGGGTACTCTTCTGCCACCTGCATGAACGACGGCGCTGCCGCCAGCACATGCAGATGGTTGAGCACAAACGTGATGGCATTCTACAAAATTCAGCCAATCACAGACATTGGGCGATTTTTGGTCTTTTTCAATAATAAAAAATCAAGTATTTCCTGTGTGCGTGGGTTATTTATGGACCTTTGTTATATATTTATTTCGATAAAATCTCGATATATTCGACTTTTATACCTCGTACAAGAGCATCGCGTGAACCATATCGGCCAACACGAGCACCTCCATGCAATTCTCCAACGTCACGACTGCATTGGCTTCACATAGCACTACTCACAACCAACCCCATGAGTACACAATCTATATTAACGAGCCAACCCTTTCTCCATCATTTCCTCATGTGTTCCAAGGGATATGGCGTACCTTTGAGCCTCGCGACTCCATACTTGTCTGCCGCCACCAGCTCGTCCAGCAGCGCTTCGTCCGATGACGGCGGCGTCCACACGTCGCTGTACATGAACGCCAGCACCCGCTGCATGGTTGCGTACGATACGTCCACGGGCAATACCTGCTCGTCATATATATATTATATATATATATTATATCCAGTATTTTACATATGCTCATAACGTTAGTTTAATATCATGAAGAAACAAAGTCGTTGTGTTGTTAATATGACGGTAGGCCCATTTTTCATCACTGTCGAGTGTTTATATCAAGATCGCCAGGCTACAGTACTGTAGGCCACATAAAACAAAAGCACGAAGTAGTTTCTCGTACTTTTGGCCGACAGTTTGCCAATTTCGGGGCTTGTTGAAATCACCACATAAAATCGAGCAAAGGAATATGATTGGATAATAATAGTAGTACCGATTGCAATATGATTGGCTCAAACGAATTGAATCGAATATTGTCGATTTGATGCAAATTTAGGGAGGGGGTGCAATCGAATCGCGCCGACCAAACCGATCCACAATCGATTTGATTGGTCGAATTTCATTTAGAAGTTTTTGATTGGTTAATAATTTTGAGCTAATCTGAAGTAGCCAATCAAATAGATTTAAGTTCCAACGAGAAACCACGCCACAACACGAAATTTCACTCAAAAGCACAATAAAAAGATTCGTCTTAAATCATATATCATATTTCGAAGGTCCTGCGAAGGTTGGGTGGTTCATTTGCAATCAACCGCCGAGGATCTTTATGAGTAGAGCACAGATACATGTGAAGTCAGGGAACCAGCTCCAAGTTTACATACAGTATTCAAGGTTGGGTACTCTTTAACATTCCTACTAGCCAATTCAGGGTATCGATATTTCATGTACATACCGACAGATTTGCATCTCGCATGTTTGTATCAAATAGCGCACGAAAGTAATCGCTCCGGGCGACGAGCATGCATTTGTGCGCTGGAATCGCATGGGATTCCGCCAAGAGCGTCACGTCGGCGTACACGTTACTGCCCAGCGCATTCACAAACGTCAGCTGCGGCGTCAATATTGACGACGGCTACACATGACATGTAAATAGAACTATAGAAAACAAGGTATATATATATATTACAATAGAACTGCATATTGAGTGTCCAACTTTAATGGATCAACAAAAACGTCGGAGTATGCAATCCACGGAGCAGGATATATGGCAAGTTTGGTACCTCTGACGACGATGCACTTGACGAGGAAGTATATGATGCTAGGTCCATGGTAATATACTGGTCGCAGAGAGCAGCGAGCCCTGGAAGGTCGAGTCTAAATCAACATTATACATGAAAACATAAATGAAGGTTGTGAAGTACTCGATGGCAGCGCGGTGGAGGTCCATGGGGACGCATGATGTCGGGTCCACGGGGGTAAACAACGTGTCGGTGTAGATATACTCGAGCACGAGCACGCAAATGTCGTGTCTACGCATTTATAGTTTATACATATATAGAAAAATATAGAATACATATATATATATTTAAATATTTTGAATACATATATATATATATATATATATATATATATATAAATATTTTGAGGCCCAGTTTGGATGCCACAGAACTTTTCATGTCAAATTATATACAGTATGTACTACCAGAGAACACCCTTTTCAAAACTGGGAGATGAGAAAATATATGCAGGTGAGATAATTAATACAGAGTGATCTTTGTACATATGTGAACATTTACATATATATATATGTATATATATATGAATATATCCAAGCGAAGGAACCAGCCCGGAATGGACACACGATGCAGCCGCCGCAGCAGTACATGGCCAACCCATAGAATAATGTTTCATATAAACATGTGAATGTGGACAGAAGCATGTACCGAATGGAAGGAGGCAAAATCACTTGCAGCATGGTGGTATTGCTGTAGGTTTCCGCGGCCATGAGGTTACGTAGCACGGACGACCGATGGGACAACACCTATATCACCAACAAGATCCATCAAATGTGAATATATATGTATATATATCGCAGGTAAACCAGGGAGCTAGCTCCAAGCATTGTCAATTCAACCACAGTGCGAATACTAGCTTGTAGGTATATGATATGGCACGATTATAAGATGGCGATGGAGGCACCAACGTAGGAATTGCCATGGAAAATATATACATGTGGATATTTTGTAGAAAAGGAATAAATATATCTGAAGAACAATAATAAATATATCTGAAGAACAATAATAAATATATCTGAAGAACAAGAATAAATATATCTGAAGAACAATAATAAATATATCTGAAGAACAATAATAAATATATCTGAAGAACAAGAATAAATATATCTGAAGAACAGTACCATTTGATGCGCAGCCAGCCGTTTTCCTGACGCCAAAAGTACGACGTCACACAGAGTTCGATGACTCAGGAGGTCAAACATGGCCTTTCCAAGGAACGTCGTGCCTCCAATCACATACGTGTTGCTATGGAAATATGGGTTTAACCGGCATAACGAGTATATTATATATATAAATATATATTAAAACGAGGTCAATCAGATATACAGTCTTGTACGTGTCGTGGCATGCCATCGTTTGCACGACTTGAGTTGGACACACCAACAACGGTACGTCTTGAAAAAGGGCTAAACATGGACAAACGGCGTTAGCATGCATCCAGATAAACGATATATATATATATATATATATTTATATTTGTTTATATATATATATTAGATACAGAAGGATTCATTCAAAACACAAAACTATGGGTATAAAAATATCCAAAAGTGGATAGTTCGCTTTTGAAACCCTGGTGTGGATACTTTTCCCTCTTTCGTCTATTTTATGCATTGCTGAAACATATATATATATATATATATATATGAAACTACAGGGTACCTCCAGCCGACAGCGTGCCCCAAACGAACGCGTCGCCTTGCCACGTGACGGCGCCAGCATGGGAACCCCCAGCACTAATCGACTGAATGCCATGTCCCAACGCCAGCACGCGCGCCGGTCGCAGCCAACTCCACCGTGGCAAGTCATTTCTATCATATATATATTGTGCTTTTCAGTCAAATTTGCCTATATTTTGGGAGATTGATGCAATAACTAATCGAGCAAACGAGTATGATTGGCTACAAAGAATGAAGGTTGCAATATGATTGGCTAAAAAGATTGATTGATGCATTGCAGTAGTCACAAAGCTACCTCTTCAACTCAGTTTTATATGAAATTTCAAAGGTCTGGCGATGGTTCGATGGTTCATTCAACCAACTGCCGGAGATAAATATGAGTAGAACACACAATATATATATATATATATATTATAAACTTGTTACACTGCAACTATCTCTCATGAATATTAGTTTTTTTAATTCGTAATATGATATCTGAAACTAAACGATATCGATGAATAAAGTTTGTAATAAAAAGATAAAAAAAATATTTCCGATATAATAATTCTTTGTACTTCCAAGTCGTAGAAAAAATTTGCTCGATGAACGTTATCACACCAGAAAAATCAATATTTTGTTTCGAGCAATCGACACATCGTACATACAGCGAGGAAGGAGGCGCTGTAAACGCCGGTAGCCCCGAGCCAGACAAACCAGCGCCCCACGACCAGACGCCGCCGTCCTGGTCCAGTGCTACCGTGAACTCTGGTCCGCACGCTACCTGTTGCATGGCAGGAGTTGCCGCCTAGGAAATATTTATATACAGTAATATGATTATGAATTTGATACAAATGTCCCAGAATTCTTCGTCAATCCAATCCCAACCGAGGTATTTTATTCTTGGTTTTCCACAGAACGCACACGTTGAACGAAAATATAATGTAGCCAATCAGCGACACGTATTTTCGTATGAACCAATCAGATCGATTCGTGATGATCCGTGCGGTTGTGATTGATACAGGATCATCGTCCGGAAATTCGTCCCAAGTTATATAAACATGATATCCAAATAAGCAAACGAGTTTGAGCTTTGAACGAAAAATGATCCAAATCGTGTGGAATTTATTCGAATCTGGAGGAATGCACACATATGTACATAATGGAATACACAAGGATTGGTAGAAATATGTCGCCAATTCCACGAACCCATCGTCAACATGAAATCGTGTGAGACTTCAATTAGTGTGATTACATACATCACAACTACAGGTCATACAAACTGTAGTACAAAAAAACACCAATCGATTGCCGAAAACTATGAGGACGTACCGACGACGTCATGTTGTCTGCTGGGGGGAAAAATCCCAATAAAGTGGGCGTAAACAGGTCGGTCAAATGGCCCAGGCCGAGCTGTCCGTGGGAATTTTTCCCCCACATCCACAACTGACCCCCCCTGGTCACACACGCTGAGTGGGCGGCCCCGCATGCAATCTACTCGTAATCATTCAAATATATATATATATATATTAAAAACAGGACAACAAACTATACTACCTACCTGCGTCACCCCGGATAAATTAGGAATCTTGGCGGGAAGTTTCTGGAGCTGTTGGTCGTGTCGAATGCCTCGTGACGACGACGCCATTCGATTCGGCGGAATATTTCCAAGTCCTGCAATAAGATAAAGAATATACAGTATGGTCCATGGATACGAAGGTCATTCTGCACCATGAAGAGTAGAAAACGTAAATATAATATATATATATATATATATATATATATAATGCAATGTTCTCTCAAAACAAGTATACAATTCGATTATGGACATCGTAGAATTGTTCAAATACAAGTACATTGTGAAACAGACGACACAAATACGGTGGTAGCTTGTGTTTGAATCGATATATATATGAGCATTAAATTCTCACCCAATCGGCCATGAAGGAATTTTCCCCACGCAAACACATGTCCTTCCTGGGATAATACGAGCGAGAACGACGTCCCCGCCGCCACTTGGATGCCCTGGACGGCATTCATTGGGAAAATCACTTGTTCTGGGCGATCGCATTGCGGAGGGCCGCTTGTGCCACAGGCCACCCGCGCGCCCCATGTATACACCTAGTGCATGCAATAACTATAATCGAGGCCAACATTGAACGGTAAAGTAAAAGACTAACGTGAAAGTCGATAGAAATATTCCAAAATTCGCAAGGGGTTTCTATACAATATTGAACATCACATCTGGAAAACCTTTTGATTGGCTGAATATGTTTGTCGTTTCTGTACGAGCCAATCAGATCCACTCAAATATGGTTCAGCCAATCGCGTCGACTCGTGATTCGATTTGACGAGGCAGAATGGATCTGGAACTTTTGGCCGAATAATCACAAGAATTGGAAAATAAATCACCAAAAAGAAATTGAAAAATCATTCAAATTCTACAGTTTTATTTATATATTCAGTGGATTTGCAACCTACTTGGCCATCGGACGTGACGGCAATTGAGTGGGCACCACTGGCGTCGTCGCCTGCTGCTGCGACTTGAATCACCATCGTTTGAACTTCTATAACATAAAAATATATCAATGGCAATGATATATATATATATATTGAGAAGAAGAAGACACAAAGAATTAGATCATACTCTATGTTATTAGCATTGGCTTTAATAGCAGTGATTATTCCAAACTGGACTGACGTGCGGAATGTATCGACACCGTTAAATGTGCAAAAGAATTGGCAGAAGCATTTAAGCCAATCAGATTGCAGGAAATCAATGAGTTCACCCAATTACCAACTAGTAATGTTTAGTGTGTGACTTGATTGAGTATGATGGGCATCCCTGCTTACGTTATTATACATACAAAATTCAGTACAAAAACTCGATCGATGGATTTGCCAAGTCAGCACAAAAGTCAGCCAAATTTTGGCGAAAAGGACAATAAAATCTTGTGGACATGTGGGTACTACTAGTACCAGCAAACTCGACGAGTTGGGGGATTTCCGTGGCTGAACGCTGGGTCCCGAGCCCCAATGCACCGTCGAGACTAGCTCCTTTGGCATATATGTGCCCTAGATCACTCAAAAACAACTACAAACCATAACTGGTGAGTCCAAATATGTGGCAGATTGTAATAATAATATATATATGTCGTACAGTGTGCACGGAGCTACTAGCGATCGCGATGATGCGCGTTCGGCCAAATGGCTACAAAGGATATGAAGGATTATGAAGGAAGTGTGGCCAAGTACATACCGATGGAAACGTAAGCGGAGTGGGGATGCTGTCACAGCTATGAACTAGCTCCAAAACGTCGACAGTGTCGGCTTTTTCACGTGGTTGGTGCATGCTAACATGCAAATTGTACGACGATATATTGTGAATATGTATCAAAATAAAACTCCTTTTACATATTCACTACATTGTGGTTTTATACAGTATAACATAAAACCACGATTTAGTGAATATTTATTTAAACGAACAATGATGTATATATATATATCTACATACAATATTCAAGACAACTTACATAATTACCAAAAACGTATATATATATATATATCGTATTTTATCTAGTATTAAAGAAAACGTACCGTACAACTGACGCCAGCGGCATTCGCGGCGTCGTGGGCATCATTTCACTCAGCTCAACGTAGTGGTGTGTGATACAAAATCGCTCTAGCACATAGCCGTTCGTGGTTGTAAAGTGTACGGTAAAGTACTGTACACCAACACCATCTTCTGGTCAATACCTTCTTTACCTTGGGAGGTATCACGATGGAATGCACACGTGTACCGCGCTCGAATGGGAGGACTCATGTTGGTGGCGACCTCGTTGTCGATGGGTCGGCACCGAAGGATGGCGTCAAGTTCCATAGTAACTCCCACGCCCCAAGTCGAATCCTCTTGAAGGCCCACGTTCACACCAATCTATTGCCAATGGTAAGTATCATAAAGCTCAAGATGAGAGAGACTTGCATGGGCTATGATCGACCCAGTCTTCCACTCGCATTTCGTCAGCATTGATGGAAACAGCGCTTGTCCGGCTAGAACCATGTGTTTGTCGGCATCTTGCGACACGAACACGAGGCAGTGCGCCAACTTGTCGGCGTCCACGGTGCTCAAGGTGCAGTTTACTGCGCACAGACGCGCGACGAGGGTTTCCATGAGTTGATTCAACGACGCGCGGGGCGATATGGCCATGTCGTTGATGCGATATGACACCTTGTCGCTTCCTCGGATGTCGCTTGCACATATGGCATTCAAGTTGACCGGTTTCTCAACGAGCAAATGCAACGGTAGCTTGAAGCCATCGGGTCGGCCTTGGAGGTCCTTGGACATGCGCTAGGTGTGAAAGTCGTGGGCGTGATGATGGGTATCTTGTGTCACCATACCTCAAAGTAGGCGATGGGACAAGATATGTCCAAGGTGGAGTTGTTATCCCGACGCTGCTCTAAGTCGGTGGAGGTCATCATGGCGTTCCTGTCGAATGCTGCAGGGATGCTGGATGCATCCACCAGGTTCTCTCGGCATAGACGTTGCATGAATGCATCCAGTTGCTTCGTGGACTCGATCATGTCGTGGAGGACATCCTTCACATGCAGCAGGTCGTCTTCCTTCCCCGTCAGTCCCATGTCGCCAGCTTGGCACTGCGTCGAACCGGTGTCAGAAGATACACCTTCGGCGGATTATCCGGTATTTCCGGATACCAAAAAGCAATTGAGCACATCTCTCGTCAAAGATGGCGGACGAGTACAAGGCCTTCCCAGGCCGACGCCAAGACAACATGTGCACGACGATGGCGGCGTTGCCTGCGAGCGTCACGTCCAGACTCCTGTCATGCTTAAGTTGGAGGAATGGAGCATCAAGCAGCATTGCCATGCAAAGCGGTCGGCGGTAAGACGCTATGCCGTCGATCTCGATGGAAGTCATGTCCATCAAAGGGTAGTGATCGACACGGACTTGGCCGAGGGAGGCTTCTCCTTCGTGTACGTCGTGCATGATGTGGATACCATGAAGCAGTTCGCCATGAAGAAAATCCCGTGTCAGTCGTCGGAACAGCGCCAGTTGGTGTCCCACGAACTTGGGTATCGCATGCTAATGTGTGTGTGGTTGCATGTTTGATTCGTCACAGGAGGACGATTGTAGCGTGCACAACAAGTGCCGACACAAGCACTTGATGCCCCTCGTGGATTATGCTGTCGTGCATACCGCCGCCCCCGACACCAGCACGTACTTTCTCGTGTTCCCGTTGGTCGAAGTACATATCTCGTCATGCATGCGTACCTGACGTTCCTTTGATTGTAGAACGGATCATTGCGTCAATACATTGACTCTTTTCGATCGTACGTTTTGTTTCGCTGGCTTCTTGGCATATTGTATCATCATCGCATGTAGACGGCAAGCATTCATGCCGGAGCGAGCCGTGGTCGACATCTTTGTCAAAGTCAGTCAAGCAGTCGCCTTCCTTCATGCACAAGAGCCATGTCTTGTGCACCGGGATATCAAGGTAGGGGGTTGTTGCATCTTCGCTTGACATGGCTTGACTGAACCATGTTAGCCGGAAAACATACTGCTAGACCATGATTTGGATCCAATTTTGACCGATTTTGGCTCAGTCATACAAGGCGATGTTGCCATTCTCACACGGTCAGATGCCCTCAAAGCCCAGGAAGTCGCGGCGATTCACAGGTACCGTTCGTTATAGCAAACATGCCCTGTAGAGATATCATATATGTACATGTACTTGGTCATGTATGTATATAATACTAGCTCGATGGCGTACCGCGCACCAGGTACTGTACATTCCCCTTCGTACAGTATAGACTTGTATTCATTCCCGTTGATAGAATTGTATGACGTACCTACCTCGTCAACATTGACATGCGGCACAGATGGTACGTACTTACGTTAGTCCAAATCACGATTACTCGTCATACTTATGGTAGTGTGGTCGATGGGATGCTTGCTGTATGCGATGATGTTTGGGTACTCGCCGTTTGAGTGTTCGATCAACGACAGTGGACACGTGAGTCATTGGTGTTTCTGCTCTTGTCACAAATGTAAGATGGCAACTCGTGGTTGTAGGTGAAACTGACAGACTGTACATACTTGGCCGTGCTGGGGACGGTGAAATTCCCGTCGCAGTGCCCATATGATCCATTCGTTTTCGATCTCGTTCGATGGATGCTCACTGTGGACACGACCTTGCGACCGACCATGGCCGATGTCCTTTGTCGATTGGAGCGTCGACCGTAGCCCATACAATATCCTTGGACCCGGGACTTTGGTGGTGTTTTCCCCAATAAAAAGGTCATTGGAATCACACATATTCAAGTCCACACACACGAAATCGATGTTGACGATGGTTTCCTCGAATCTGGTTGGCCCAATAGATGTGCCGATTCTTGTGTACTACCAGCTACTAGTAATACGTAGTACTATTAATAGTATGGTGTCGATTCATTCTCCATGTCGCTCCAGTTTAGAATATAAACACACAATACAATATCACAGCATGCCATACTGTAATAACCCCAAACCGTTCTTACTGGTGGGCATCATACATACTCACTGCTCAAAGCCAAAGAGACTTTTTATATGACTGTCTGTCCATGACTACGAGATCGCCACATTCCCAACCACCAAGGTCAGCGTAAACAGTATAAAACCCTGATAGGAAGTTAGTCGTTTTGCCATCCACAATATGGAGGGGTGTCATGACGACATCACATTTAGATTAGATATTTCCTTACCAAAATGAGCACAATAACCCTCCACGTTGGCTCCAAATGTGAAACCACTCGCCGTTATATCGTCGGTTTCTACTTTCCACCAGTCGAGTTCCGTCGTGATATATTATTACGAACAACGTGAGCGAGCATGACCAGCACCGACGACGCGGTCGACTTGGATGCGCTGGGGGTGAACGCCGACCAGTATGGCGCCCTCCAGCGAGCGTTCTCGAAATACGACAAAATGAAGACAGGCACGATCCGCGTCTCGGACTTTGACTTGTTGAGCAAGGAACTGGGTGAAACGTTTGACGAGGACGAGATGCTCGTGGCCAAGCGCAGCTTGGAAGACCCTGACGGCGACTACATTCAATTCTCCGTGTTTCTCAAGTGGTGGGTCGACGATACAGCATAATATTTGTAACAAATATCCATCCATCAAACAACAACCTACGTCGTCACACACTATTTGGAGACGTGTATGGCCATGTCCCGCGCTTGGGTTTTCAGGGACTGGCTCACGGCACCCTTGACTTTGAGGGCCCTTGTGATGAGATCGCGGCGCGCTTGTCTACGCATATATTGTTGAGACGATTGAATCAAAATTTGTAACCTTCAATGTCTAATAGACTGAATATTTCTACTAGTTTGCCCCTTTTGATTCGAAATGGAGTTTTCAATGATGATTTTTTTCCCATCGTAGTAAACTCTCGCTGCTTGGTGGAATAAGAGGAGGACGTACTTGGAGTGCAGCACAGCGTGTCGATCGTGCAATCGGCGGAGGTTTTCTGGGACGTCAGTCAACGCTGCATTCCCAGACAGATCCACGACCTCGAGCTTGACGAGCGCACTCAATCCCTTGGGAAGCGTCGTCAGTTGGTTGTGCGCGACACTCAGGATTTGCAGCGACGACAGCAACGCAAACTCGTCCGGAATGTCTTGAAGGTGATTATGCTGGGCAAACAATTGGTCGAGTTTCGTACACCCAGTCAAGCTTAGAGGCAGCGACCGCAACTGGTTGGACTGGACAAACAATTTCCGGAGCTTTTGGAGACTGCCCAAGTCGGGGGGGAGGTGCGAGAGGTGGTTCTGGGCCACATTCAACACTTCAAGCAACGGAAAACACTCGACAAAGTCGACTCTAATACCGTACACATGTCGTATAGGCATCCCGAGATGGACGACAAGTAAGTACGTACGGAAGGCTGGTAAGGTTGTTGTGCCGCAGGTTCAAATTCCTCAAGCTCGACAAGTGCAGCGTTTGGGCGGGCACGGCCAGGAGGTTCAAGTCGGCGAGGTTCAAATCATGGCCGGTCGAGAGGCTTTCGCACTTTTCCAGTCGAGTGGCCACGCTGTCGTCTTGTGCATCCTTGGCTTGGTTTGGTCGTCCAGCCATGATGGTTACACTGAGAGAGAGCTAGCTCGAATGGGCAAAACAACGTTTGTGTATAACATGCATGCATATATAGGTATTTTTAGCTTGTAAAAGAAACGGCCACCACGCCACGCTATTCGTGCTGGTGTTGCTCCTGCATGAGGGTCAACAATTGGGCGTATTGACTTTGAAGAGTATCGTGGTAGGCTTTGCCAAGGGTGCGGGAAGTTGACATTCCTAGGATGAATGTTCAACACGATGTTACAGTACTGATCGACCATGCATTGTTTTGTTTTATTTGGTCATAGCGTGAAAAGCAACCACCCACCGAGCAGTTTGAACGCCATGGACATGAATCCTTGGGCACTTTTAAGCTCTTGATTTCTGAAGCACGACACTCCCTATGCGAAACACACTGAGTACATTTCAAAACTGTTTACCGACAAAATTCCAAGCTTTGGCCATAAACCACTCAATGTCGTCGTCGAGCAGGACAATGTCGATGGTGGAGCTGATTTGCACAACGTGTTCGAGCCATTCACACCCTTCTTCCTTTGACTGGGCGAGGGCCACGAGTTTCTTCAACGCGTACAGCACTGCCCGCGATTCAACATGTTTTTGCTGCAACTCCAATTGCAAACTACCAAAAGATGGTGGCCACAGCGTGACATATATATATATAAACGACGTGACTAGTCGTACGAAAACTTGTACAAGTGGCTTGATATTGAACGCAAAGCGATGGTTGAAGCCTAGAGTTGTCATAAACGAACGAAATTTTGACTATAAAGTTGTACCTTGGTCGTTGAATTCGTCGACGTCGTGAAAACATAGTCTAATAGAGTAGTGTTGCATCATCTACAAAGCCACGATGCATGTGCAGCATTCAATGGCCATACCTCCCAATTCACGATATTTCATCGACGTTTGCTCCAATTTTGCAGTGTAGCACTCTAGGAAATCCGTTGTGCGAAAGTCATCCGTCTTGATTTTAACGATAAACATGGACGTCGCCTACATTATTGTCAAGTCAGTCAAGTTTTATAAACCAACAAAGTACCAAATAGTCTTGAATCTTTGACGTATGGGTTTTGTCTTGACTTAGTTGCCTGGCAAGCAACGATTCCACCTATACACATGACAAAGTTACACATCCAAAATAGGGTAAAGTTGTATGCGAGTAATTACCTCCACCAGATCCTCGTTTGACAGCGTGTCAATGGCTTTCATGCGTAAACAGATTGCCGCAACCCAGCACTTTTCGTCTCGCCCTTGCAACTTGGTCGTAGGAAACAGTTTTGTGGCTGTAGCGGCGACTTGGGCTGCCTGCTTGAAACATCTCCAATTTTGGGTGTTTACTCCGATGTTGTGGCTACAATAATGTCACCAATGGAATTCCGTGATACTTCTCAAACGACCGTACCAGACGCCAAAAAACCATTCGAGCACTTCAGGGGGTCCAAACGACTTTTCAACCTGGCTGGGTTCAATTCTCTCTGCCAGGGCTAATAGGTCGTCCAGGTACGTCATGAATTTTGAAATCGGCTGGCGTTCGTCGCCTTCACAGAGGCTACAACATACACATGTAACCATCATCACATCCACTAAAATATATACTAAAATATATACTAATGTGGTACATTAGTATATATATACACACACCTGTTGTTGAGCTGGGCCATGTTTTGGTACAGCACGCCCACTTCCAACTGGGGTAACTCGTTGGTGGCACATATGCGTTCCGACAGCAATTTGGCCAGCGTTTCACACACTTGGAGGACACTTGCATGGTTTTTCGCTTGGTGCGCCTCTCGCCCAAACGCAACCATGTCGTAAATGTCAAAGTCGTCGCATTCGATGAGCCGGACAAGGGTTTCTTCCACCGAGGTAGCACTGCTCGATGCATCGTCGCAGCTCACTAGCACTCGAAAGCAAGCAAAGATACTCTTCTTTGACATTTCCTCGTTCAGCGCTTCCGTTGCCAATTGCAACGCCATGGCAAAGTCGCCCAGTCGTAGCTTTGCAAGCGACATGATTCTAATGCGCCAGAGATTGGTTTTTGTATTTTTTTCGCTTTTCTTCTACTTGGATGTAGTGCATCGAATCCTTCAATATATCGTACCGTTTGCACACTACACGTTCGGCAGGTGTGCGCGATATAACGAGGGCGACCTCTGTCCATCGAAACAATTCCTAGGATTTGGTATGATTGAAAATGTATAATTGGACCATGTACATACCTCGCTCAGGTCGTAGTTGGTGGCATTGCAGGATGCGTCGTGTATAACTTTCTTCAACTGCGACAGTTGATCCGGCGCAAACTGGGGCCACTGCTCTGCAAGGCGGGCGGTGATGGAGCACGACTTCTCGCGAAGGTGTTGATGTTCTGAAAACGCCAACTCGGTCGCCAATTCCATGTCAATTTGAATGGCGTTGGCTGGAAAGTTCACTTTCAACGTTTCCCACAACGGAAACACAGTGCCATCGTGATAGCCCACAGTCGCAGAGTACATTCGAGTGGCCTCACATGCCAACTCGTAGTTGTCATGCTCCTAGTTTTCGACGTTAACTAAACGTTCCTATGATTGTACTCACTTGTAATTGCTCCACTAAGCTCAGGGCTCGGGGGAATGCTCGTGACTTCAAGTGTAACTTCACGCCACTCTGCAAGCCTTGTGGTGTTTCAGGGGACATGAGCAATGTCCAGCATGTCTCAGCTCGGTCCAACATTTCCATGTCAATGTACACGTCCACCAAGCACACCAATGCAGTTCGTCGGAGGGATGATTTTTTCTTGATGTTGTCCAACGTTTCGATCAATTCCAAGGCAATTCCCAATAGGGTCGCTTCCGCGTCCCTCGCATCACGCAAGCGGTGACTTTCCGCAAGATTCATGACCAATTTGACAAACTTGGTCGTGTTTTGCGGCAGGTATGGCATGAACATCCTGAGGTCGTGGATATCTTGCACCATGTCGGCCACGGACGTGATACAGGACAAGTGGCCTTCGAACGCATCCCAAATGTCTTCGCAGATCTCTTCGAGCTCGACCCCGCTTTTCGTTTTGGACAAATGATTCAATCCCATGGAGCGATAAATCGCAATCGCCTCCGAAAAGCAGACTTCGGGGGATGCAATCACATGCGACGAAACGGATGCGCCACGAAGGACATGTCCTGTCCGCGCAAAGCACCGAAGCAGGTCCAGCGACTCGGAAATACTTGGTCCCACCAACCGCTTGAGCAGCATGCACGCCAACGAGCGTATTTGATACGCGACTTGCTTGTTCGTGTCATGCATGGCGCACTTTCGGCTTGCGTTGTACAGGTCAATCACGTCGGTCGTCTGCAACTTGTCGTGCCCTGGACTGGTCATCCAAGCACGCGCTTCCTGCAGTCGCTTCATGCACTCCTTCTCGCTTACGTTCGTTGCATCGAGGAAGGATCTCAATTCGTCGAGGTTCATCATGGGCTCCAGGTGTTCTGGGAAAGCGGCTGGGTGCAATTTTGCAAATGCGCGCGAGAAATTCAAAAAGATTTCCCATTAGTACTACTAATAGTAAGCCTTCAAAATTAATATAGTTCACTTGATTACAGTATTTACACGGGTAAAAATAATTTGACACTAGTAGTACTATACACAGATGTACTAGGGGGAGTAAAAAAGTGCGGCGGCGGTGGCTGATTAGACCTTGACGACGAGTTCCTTGACAATGTTGTTCTGGATCGCGTTCGATAGTAGGGGCACACAATGTCCGCGGCTTTCACCAAGCGGTCAGCGACCGCCTTGTCCAGACCGGGCAAGTGGATTTCCAGCTTGGCGCCGATGCCAAATCCCGTTGGGATCGGTCCAAGGTCGATGCTCGCATTGATCTTGGACCCATCCGGAAGCGCCACCTTTTCCTTTCCGGCGACGTGCTTGAGCGCGCCAAGGAAACAAGCAGAGTATCCCGCAGCAAACAATTGTTCAGGGTTCACACCCGCAGCGCCAAGCTTGATGTCGACGTTGCCCCCATCCGTCGACTTGGCGTGTCCTTCGCGACCGCCGGTTGTTTCCACGTGAGCCGTGTAGGCAATTTTGTCCAGTACGGTAGTGGCCATGCCGCGGTACGATGGTACGTTCGAGGTGGCTCCATGGCGGAAAGCTTTCAATGTGCGTGCAAGCATTTCAATTGCCTGATACGCGGAAAACGAAAGTGATCATGCAAATACAAATGTTCACGGAGTGACCGTTATAAATGATCCATACAAACAACGAGATAAACCATTCTGTCATCGGATTTCAATCATCGTTTTTTATTATCTTTTATTTTGTATTCATAGCCACTGGTATAAAAACAAGGTTTTTCCAGGTGCTTGATTGGACCATCTCAAACGCGCGACTTGCGCATTACTTGTTCATGCTTCGATCGGTGGCTCCGTCGGCGATGATGTTGGCAGCATGCTGTCGTCGCTCTACCATGCTTCCAATGCCCAAGAGTCAAGCCTTTGCGAGTTGGAATAGCAGTGCATTGTCTCGCGATGTCAAGCGCCAGCGAGATACTACGCTCTTGATCGATGGCAACAACCTGCTCTACGACGTGTACGACGCCCGATGCACACTCTCCTGGTGAGAAGCCCACACATACATCTCCTTCCATCCTACTTTCTTGCTTACACATCGATCAACCATGACTAGGAACGACCAGGCTATTGGGGCCGCTGTGCGTTTCGTGCAGCGAGTGCGCGAGATCGTCCACGCCAAGCAAGCCAACCGCCTGGCCATCATGTTTGACACACCGCAGACGAGCCAACGACAGCTTGCCAACGATATGTACAAGCCGGTGCATCGAAAACGCACGATGGCCCAGCACCTTCGTTCCCAATTCCCCATCGCCGTTGGTCGTCCGTTGTGTCGTGCCACGTCATAATATGGTACTTTGTATAGATTGACACGCTCAAGGCATTGGGGGTTGCCGTGATCCAGGTGCCAACTGTCGAAGCCGACGACCTCATTGCATCGTATGCCAAGGCATGTGTGGCCGACGGCTTCGACGTTGTGATTGTCACCAACGACACGGACATGTACCAACTGGTGCAAACGTCGTCCTTGTCTGACAAGGTTCACCACAGCGTGACAGTGTATCGCCCCATGGCCCGCCAGTCCATTCGGGAAGCTCGTGTGAAGAAATTGCTCTGTGGCGGCCGACCTGCCCAGCAGCCAGAGATCCGAGCGTTGTGTGGGGATCTACGGGGAAAAACTCCCGGGATTCCCGGTGGCTTGGACATTCGCGAGGCAATATCCCTTTTGAACAAACATGGCGGACTCGTGCGACTCTTGCGGACGTTGGACGACGTATATATATATATACATCTGAAGAATCGCATGGAATTGAACCATGTCGCTTATATTATATTAGGTGGACGACAAGGCGTTGGCCCAGCGCTTAAAAAACTCGATCAGTATGCTTGAATTATCGTACAAAGAGTCCAAGTTGAACGACGCGGTGCCGCTGCCCGTAGCCCCCGCAAGGCTCGCGATTGCCCAACCCTTGGTCTTCAATCGACAGGTGCTGGAGAGAGTGTTTGGGGCGGACGGCACGGCCGTGGTGTTCACAGCTCAAGCCAGAGTGCGTGGCCAGCGGCCCTGCCATTTGCAGGAAATTCAAAAGGATGCACCACCTGAAGAAGACTGCGATCCGGCCACGGAAGTAGCGCTCGATCAATTGTTCGACTCGATCAAAGCAAAATAACGTTGATTTGGTGATACAACATCTATGTAGACAAGGATTGCTTTGATTACCCATGCTCAAAACGTACTAACTATCGAATGGTTTAGCATGCGGAGTAGTCCTCCTCACTGCGTAGTTTCTAAACAAATGCGTGTTAACTGTAAATACTCGTTCGAATATAGTACTGAAGTATAAGTGCACTTCGTTAGACGAGAATGCTACTAAGCTTACGCAGTAATAGGCTGCGGGAAATCGCGAAAACAAGTTTCGCCTGGTCAAAACTTGCAAAACCGAGCGTCTTTTCAGCATGGCGTGTGCTTTGATTGGCCTCGTCCGTTTTTCACTCCATCCCAATCATATGATTGAGGCGACCCTCTTCCGTAAGTGCAACCGCAGCTACTGGGACGTATCGACTGTCCACGAAACGCTTGAATAAAAATATGTGCATTAATGCGCATATATTACAAAATATGCACAATGTATTTCAGCCTTTTGTAACGCTTATGCATTATGTATGCGCACTGACTGTGAGTAGAGATAGAATATTGCCTTGTGTTTACTGTAACTTGTTACTACGTAGTAGTTGATTTATTAAGTGGGAACTTATGCGACATTACAGTCAATCAAATTGGCAACTAACCTCTTTGTTTAGATATTTATAAGCTACTTACACTTGTAAAAGCAAAATTTATGACATGTTGTTTAAAAGTGAATAACTTCTTGCAGGAATCATACCAATACCAAACGAAAGAACAGAATCCTAGTCAATGGTCCAAATTTTGATGTGATCAGTAAAATTTAGATGTGGTCAATCAATAGAGAGATTTCGGGAACGCCGCATTCCCTATCCCATTCCCACATACTCTTAATTTCAATAATTGTATGGGAAACCATTGAAACACAGTAAATCTTCCCACATAATTATCCAATTGTATGGGAGAGCCTCCCATTCGCAAACGACACCCAACCCAGCATGCCACCGACCGAAAAGCGCCGCAACTGGACGTGTGAGGAGGACCTAGTTCTTCTCATTCAGGCAGCAGCCGACCAGCTGTTTGCGGCAGAGAAGGGTGGTGTGACGAAAGCGTGGCAGGCACTCGCAGACACTCTAATAGGCTGCGAACACTTTGTTCGTGTGGTGGACGGTCGCCGCGTTCAAAACAGATTTACGGCTTTGGTTGAAGAGCACCGGCGTTTTGACAAGGCGTCGGCATTGCTCTCTGGTGTGTGTGAGGAAGAAAAGGAGAAGCATGTGCTTCTTGACGACATCATCTCTCTACTGGACGACCAAAGGTCATTGCTGCAGCCAAGAAAAACGACACAGCTTCCCAGGACAAGGATAAAGTGGAGCAGGATGCCCTCATTGTGCGTGACGTGGCCATGCGTACATTGAAGCGACGCAAGGATTGTGAATTGGACGAGCTAAAGAGGAAGTCGCCAACGGAGAACCGTCGCAACAGCCTTGCTGCATCGATTGAAGTCGAGGGGGAGCGCGAGTTGTTGGTCCGAGAAAAGGAATTGGAGTTTCAGCGCTTCAAATTTGAGGCGGAGTTGAAGGAGAGAGAGCGTTTGCGGGGGCTTGATCGAGAAGAAATGAAAGCGGAGAGAGACCACCAAGTACTACTTGCACGTATCGAGAGCGAGAAGATGTTGACTATGTTCAAAGCAGTTGCCGAAGCAAAGAAATAGGATATAATTCTAGGTGATTGTATTGAACGTTATGCTTTGATCAAGTAGTCTTTCAAGGATGGTGGGCTCAAGTTAAAGTAACGTTAGGTTGAGATTTGATTCAAAGAAGTAGGATATAATTCTCGTTGATTGTATTTAAAGTTATGCTTTGGTCAAGTAGTCTTTCAAGGATGGTGGGCTCAAGTTAAAGTAAGTTGAGATTTGATTCCCACCATGGTAGCAGCAATTGCAGTTGGTGAAAAACATGGCAACAAGGATCACCGTGCTGACGTTGGAGAGCATGATTTTGTTCTGCATCTTGAAAGTGATAAATCGCCATAACGTTTTGAGGCGGCCAAAGTTCCACTCGACCTCTTGCCGTACACTGCTCATGGAAGAGTTAAACAATTGCTGTGCGGCGTCTAAATTTGAACCCCGGTACCCCGAAATGATCCATTTGGAAATTGGATACGCTGGATCGCCGCAGATGTAGTACCCGGTGAAAATGTCCGAGTTAGCCGCGAAAAATTCTTGCAGTTTACTCACACGCAGCAAGGTCACGTCATGCCGTTAGCCTTCCAATGGGCCAAACAAATGAATGCACAATCCGTCCGGCGTTGTCAAGCCTTGAAAATTGAGACAATGCTTCCGTTTGTGGCCAGAATAGATTCGTTTTTGTAAATTCAACCCCACAGCGCCATGTGCAGTCACGCTGATACGGCAGGTCTCAATTTTCGTTCCATCGGGAAATGCCCACACACTGGTCAATGGAGATCCCTTTGCGTGAATTGCTGCAGCATACTGTCCGATGCGGTGGCGTACGATTCGGGTGTTGCAGTATATTATCTCTTTCCACTCGGCGTGAACAAATGTGACCATGAAGTTGAATACTCGGCAAAGCTGTTCGCGAGACCGTCCAAAGGTCGCCACCTTGTCGTAGTAGGTTGTGGGATATCTCAGACGACGCAACATGACACACATGGCCTCCACTCCAAGAAGACGGTCGAAGCTGCTTGTGACAACAACGTTGGGAACCCCAAGTAGGGTCGTGAGCTGCAGCACGTCACGCATGTCAAACCGGAAGGACAACCGAGCGTCGACGTCTCGCATGTTTAGGTCAAGCCGCACGTCAGGAATAAGTGGGCGTTCGATGGCAATACCGAGGACGTATTCCAAGGGAGCAATTGTCTGGGTGGGGCTCAATCTCTTTCTCTTCGCCCATTTGAGCCAGTTCAGAGCAAGCTTTCGGTTGCAGCTAGGCATTTCCGAGTCCAAGATAGATGGAGAATGGTTATGTTGTCTGAAATACATTCCGAAATGGCTGAAACCGCTTTCCCAATCCGGTTCCCATAAAACCGGATGGTGCTATGGGAATGGGAAAAAACGTGTACACGAAATCTCTCTAATAAATAGTCAAATAATCACAAAGTGTTTCATTAGTTTACAATTTGAGCTGAGCATACCATCCGGATAACTGCAACCGGCAACCCTTCGGCAATCATGGCCCTTCGTGTGTCTGTGAATTGGCATTACTGTACGGATTTCGGGTCACAAAGGGATGTCATTTCAAAAGGCCTGCGCTCCTAGTAGCCGATGGGTTCGCCTCGGCCCGCCCATCGGTATTGCTGGGCCGGATACCGGAATGACATCCTGACCTTGTTAGTCACTGAACTCACGAAATTCACACGAAGGGTTATGCAATGAATTTTAATGTTCAGGAAATCCATATCCTCATCATTATTATTCTCGACAAATTCTAACATTCTATCATCTACTAGAAATACCTGCCAATCACCCTTTAGTGCCAACGACGACTTCATGTTCGCTTGCTTCGTCGTCTTCCAGGTCCCTCGAAAGTTCCTACAAGATTGTGCTTTCATAATCTAGGTTCTCCAACAAAGTGGAAAAGTCAAACGCGTCAATTTCAGACGGTTCAAAAGGATCAACTTCAGTGCAGGGACGTTTAATGATACCACATTTGCGGAACCCGTTGACAATGGTTGTTTTTGGTAGGCATTCCCTGGCAGTATTTACCCACTCCACATGGTCGTATCGGTCAGGCGGCGTTAGCTTGAACTTACCATCACGAATGTTTTGGACCTCGGTACGTAATATTCAACCCAACGACGGCGTAACGCACTTTTCATAGGCTTCATCCAGGCGACGTCAGCGGACTGGCAGATCCAGGTAAATGATGGAGTTCTTTTTCTAGAATGACGGTCAATTCTTCCGTCAATTGCACAACTTCATCGGAAAGTGTGCACTAAAATCGTCCCAAAGTAGAAGGACTGGTTTTCTCGATTTTCCGCTCCGGTGGCCAAAGTGGAAGGTCAAAATTGCAAGGGAGATTTTACTGTTCCACCACGCGGTAGGATTGCCAAATATCCTCGACGGGTGGCGCTCATGGAGTTCTTCAATTTCAGGCCACATGGTACGTCCAAAATCGTTTCGTTGGGACAAGTTTTTTAGAACGACTTTGGCAATTTTGGACTCACCCGTTGTGAGAACCAAAAACAATAGATACTTTACGCCATTAAAATCTGCTAACACAATTGCTGTTAGACGATCATTTTCATATCCAGAGCCCTTGATTCATACGGTCTTGGCGCCTTGTTGGTAAATTGTCTTTTTTGGTACGTATTCGTAGTTGATACCATTGTAAACGGTTTCAACACCCCTTGTAGCTACAACGTCGCGAATGCGCGCTGAAAACTCGGATAACTTCGATTCTCCTTGTGCTAGGTCCGCTTGACCAGCACGGCTCTTGGACCGCATCGCGAAGCGCCAACGTTTCATGAAGCCTTGGATCCAAGCATTGCTGGCTTTGAAGTTGTTGGGACCAAACCCCAAGTCTCAGGCAACCTCAAGGGCGCGTGATTGCAGCAACAGATTGCTTAAGGGGATCCCTTCCGAACGCAGTTCGTTGACCCAGTCAGCCAGGCCTTCCTCAGTAGCCTTGTCCAGTGTGGTGGAAGTTCCTTGTGGTTGCATAGATTTTTTAAGTCTATTGGACGGTTCGTTGGCAGCCGCCTCAATGGTAGGCCTGCACTGTTCCCAGCGGAAGATCCGCTTCCACGCCGTCTTGCGTGGGGTTCCAGTGAGTCCTGGGAAGTAGGTGTCGAGCGCATCATTTATTGATGTGTCTCTTGCTGCATGGATAATACAAAGTTTTTTCACGACTGAGTAGGATGTAGTCTTGAACAAAGGCACCTTCCGGGAAACCTTCTTGATGGATGGTCACCCAGTCGCATTGCGATGGGCTACTGGGCGTGTCGTGTCCCGCGCCATGCAATTGACAACAAAATTTCGCGCGCACATGGCACTCAATTCAATTCTCGTATACTTAATATTTATTCTTTTTGAGAGGTGACTTGTTATGCTGAGGTACCTGCAAATTTGAATATTGTATTATATTGGATTATGCAGTTTTCCTAAGTTTCCACTTGACAAATCAACTACAGTATTTGCAATTAACACAACCACAGTCTTCCTCATCCCACATTGTCGATGTTTCGTCGAACAGCACAGCAATCACAACGGTGGATCGATTCACAATAGAAACTGACTGGTATTAAATCTTATACTAACCAGTTGTCGATGCCAGCCATGCGTCATAATCAGACGGCTCTCGACCTCCTATCTAGGTGCGATTTGCCCTTGGTCATTTCCAAGGGCACACGACACACTTCTGCGGACGAGGCAGTACTTCCCCCTACAGAGGATTGCCCAGTGTCGCAGTCAACGCGCATAGCCTTGACGACGCCGTCGCTGGCGTTCTTCATGATCGAGTAGCGCAGAACTACAGCAATGCCTCCATAGAGTTGGAGGGCTGGCTCCCATAAAGCGGTGACCGGCCACGCCTTGGTGGGCTATGATGCAAATCCTCTGCTGCAGATCAACAGCGGCTCGGGGATCAAAATCTTCCCAGCGACGGTCACGTAATACCCGTCGGTGATGCTCCAAGTCACATTGGGGACGTCTTCGTCGGCAGCTTGCAAGGCTGCCTTCTGTATTCCGAGTATTTTCGTCGCCGTCAGCCTGGCGAAATCCTTGTCTTGAAGGTGCGAGACAACAACCAGTTGTTGCACCCCACTGCATGAGCAGGTCCGCCCATTCGTATGCTTCCCCTGCCACATGCTCGATGGTGTAGGTGATGGTCGTCCTCACCATAGCCTATCGCTGGAGCGTGTGTGCTTGGTATCGAGCCTCGTCAAACCCACCACTTAAAAATGCCAACGGATCGTGCTGTTGTTGATCCACGAGCTACTCCAGGGCTTCTGGCGGGATCTGCGTGCAATGAGTGTCGTTGGTATCGGTTTAAACACAGATGAACTTGTCTGCAGATGGATATGACAGCGGTGCGTCGTGCTTTCCTGGCGCTCAATGTGTGCGACCGCTACGCAAATACTTTCGAAAACTGCAAGATAAAATCTGCCCCAAACTGGCACCTGGCTCGAAGTACAAGCTTCCATGTACAGTATACAAGTGGTTATAACACCATTTTTGTGAAACTTAATCAATTACACAGGCATCTTTCATTTCGTCTGTCCGCATTCAATTTGCCTGGGCTTCATCTGGATGTACGATTTCGAGAGTCCCTTCTACCCGTTTAGGATTTTGGCGCAGCGGCTAAAGCAACATGATGGCAAGCCATTATCATCGATAACGCATGCAACATCCAAAACTACCAAAACTACTGCATGCTTCGTGAGACTTGGATTTTCTGCAACATTTGGTTCCTCGTTGACCGTTTACACTACTCTAATGACCAAAATTGCTCGAGGTGTACACATTCTACAATGCCTAGCTAACCTCAATATTGTAGCGGCTACTGCATCGATAATTTCCCACAACTTGATAAGATCTCAAGTGTCCTTGTGGAGGTTTACAACTCTCTACTGTCCTCCATCGTGTGGAGCTGTGGCTACATGGCCAAGGGCAAATTCATGCTTTACACGAAGCGTTACATGACTAACATCACAAAGGACCTTTGGTGAGTGTTAAAAAGGCGGTGGCAACGAGAACCAGCCATGAGGTGGTCATCTGGGAGGATGACAATGCATTCATATCAAAGATTCAAGCCAACATAATTCACCACACTACAGAAGTACCATACACCCCAACAAGAAATGATCTGTGCTCACAGTAGAACACTAAGAGTGCTTCCAATGCCCACATCTGCACAGTTTTTCATGCTCGTAACTTCAACATGGCAGTGTTTGCACGCTGCGAAACCTCAGAGTAAATTGGATGCAATACTCTCACGAATACTACGTAGTACAGTGCACATACCTCGCTAACCTCAACCACGACATACTGTATTAGTACATCTTTGGAAAACAGGAAAAGGAATGAAATTTACGTATTTGACGGTCGCCTTATCGATAACAAAACATAAACATCATGGATAAGTAAGCATAGGATATACTTCACAACCTTTGGCGCCAATCACAACATCATTGGAGAGCACATTATAGTGACAATTGATACCACTACTACATCCAAAATACCACGACATGCATCATTCCACGCCAACACGAATTAAAACTGAAAGGTTCTGGGAATACGCTGAGTAGTAGAACAATCATTACCTCTCAAGGCCGACCAGCCCACATGCGTCGCATGTCGCCGCCACACTGACCTAGAATACGAGCACACAGAGAGATCAAACAAAGATCGCTACACTACTTCTCAGACTTGCCTAGTGATGGCGACTAGTCTTACTTTGGTTACCTTGCGCCCCACAAGGCCACTCCTACCAAGGTCGTTGTCATCTACACGACTTACGCCATATACTGTGATATCGTACAACGATTCACTTGGTTCCCCACCATTACATGGCGTCATGTCTATCGCGCAATCCATTTCAATTTTCGATCAAACGCCATTCGGGTGATCAATCGTGATTGGTTGGTTCTATTCTCGATTTCTACTGGTTGGACGTTTCTATCGATGATCCCTATTGGTTGGAATTTTCTATCGATCACTATTTGCTTGAATTTTCCATCAATCGCTATTGGTTGGATCGTTTCTCGATAGCAATTGGTTGGATTCAGTCCTTGATTGCAATTGGTTGGAATTGTTTCTCGCTCGCTATTGGTTAGAATCACTTTCCAGTTACTATTAATATTGGTTGAAAACAAATACGTGAGGCACTTATCTGATTAACAGCGCAGCGTAGTATGTCCAGGGGTCCAAAATACGCATATTAGAGAGAACCGTGGGTGAACTCGCCCACAGTTGACACAGTTACTATTAATATTGGTTGAAAACAAATACGTGAGGCACTTATCTGATTAACAGCGCTGAGGCGTAGTATGTCCAGGGGTCCAAAATACGCATATTAGAGAGAACCGTGGGTGAACTCGCCCACAGTTGACATTGTGTATATCTATGGTATTGTATGGTAGTGGCAGACAGTTGCACAAAAATATTTTGTTTTTAAGATAGAGAGGTACTGGAGTTGGACCAATGATTTAAGCCAATCACGCATGAGTGTAACGTGATACACAGATGTCCCACCAAAATTCAAAACCAAAAATCTGCGAATTTTGCCTCGAGGACAATTCCATTGGATTCAGGAGGGGGTTTATACCTCCAACGACGAACACACAACCACAGCAGTTTATTACGGCTCTTCGCGTGGAATAGCCTTATCAAACGAACGTATGAACATCACCGATGGAATAGCTTCCCATACTTTTAGGATTCTTTGCACCATGGCCAACCTTTTTTCAGCTGTTGTCACCTTGGTCTCGTGAAGCCACTCAGTACGGCACTTCGCCTTAAAAGGGCCCATGATACCCACATCAAGTGGTTGGCGTGTACACTTCGAGTTGGGGGACAGCTCTTCCTGGACATACTGGCAAGCCGCTGATTGTCAACAACAACAACCGAAGGCGCTTCGATCTCATATCGGAGCAATTCACGGAGGTAGATGTCCCATACCCGCTCATCCACCCAGGCATTTTCTTGCACCGCATAGATGGCTCCTCGTGGATACGTTGGCAGTTCGGTCTGTTCGACCAGACCGCCCGGCTGGCCATGGACAATGACGAATGGCGGCAACTTCCGGTCTATACATTATAATACCGTCAGCTCGAACACCTAGCACTGCTGTCACTCTGTCCGAGTGCTTCTGCTGTTTGTCCACCTTCGACGACTCGCCAATCCGAGCTCATGTGCGCCGTGGAGGCATGCGGGGTCATAAGCGGTGTACTTTGGCCAGAACGACTTGGCGTACTCGACACGCGTTGCGCGGAGCTCGGCCTGCGTCTTCTTTGGCACGCATGGTACCCGCTGGGAGAAGCCGTGTCCGTGGGCAAAAGCTTGGCACCACCCAAGAAGACATTTGTACGCTCGAACCTGGTCTGGCTTGCTGTCGAGGTAGGCATCCAGCCATGGCTGTTGGTGTGTCTTGAGCCATGTGACGACGTGTGCAGTGGTCAAGAACTTTTCAATGTCACGGACGCTATCCATGAATTTGACGAGGTCGGCGCCAAAGCTGCTGACGGACTCCAGCTGGCCATGTCCGTCCAGAGTCGTGTTGCTGCCCCGTTTCACTGACTCCAGGTACTCGTGCTTTTGTTTAAGCCACCCGCGTAGTGTTGCAATTGGAATATGCTCCTGCCGCGCGAATTGACGGTCGCTGCAGCATAGACCGAGATCGGAATGTTTCCGCAGAAGTGTCTCTATTGTGCCAATACAATACTGTTGTTGTTTCCTTTTGGGAAGTAGTGTTGTACGTCGGTACGGCTTCAACAGCAGCTTTCGTATTTGCTTGCGCCTTGGGGCCATCGGTCGTCGCGGTTGAGCTCCCTCTGGCATGGAAGCACGTTTGAATTTCAAGCATGTACTTTATTTGAACAGACCAATAGGATAGTTTTTTTGCTGTATTCTCTCCAATAAGAGCTATCGATTTTTTATCTATGATTGGCTAAAAGTGCATTGTAATTTGACATCGGATCAGTTGACACAATGAAAAATATGTCAACTGTTCTACTGTGGGTGAGTTCACCCACGGTTCTCTGTATATGTACAGTATGATGCAAAACGTTAAGACACCTATAATTTCACCCATAACTTGATCAAATTGTATTGCAAGGTTTTAATATCGAAATCATCGTCATGGCCCCCACAATGAACGTGACTGAAAGATAGACCACCAACAACTCGCGGAAAAGGCAAGGGGTAAATTATCTGATTATGATAGTGTGCAAAATGATAAGAACAAACTAAATTCTGCTCAATACTTGTCAACCAAGACACAATCTCCACAAAAAACAACTATTAGTAGTTAATTGGCTTTCCTGATGACTTCAACACAGCAATGCATCGGGACTTCATGGCTGCGAATATTTAGGACCCATGGCATTCCAGTGCAACAGGATCGTATTTTTCAGCTCCCCCGTTGTAGAATACTGCTTGCCATCACCATACACTCGTTGGCAAAGGTACCCCCACACGTTTTCAATTGGATTGAGATCGGGGGAAAGCGCGGGCCACTCCATCATGGCTACGCCATTGTCGTTGAGAAACTCGCTCGTCTCTTTGGACGGAATCGAGGCATTAGAAAGGTTTAGCAACTCATCTTTATCATTACCCTCAAATGTTTCTGCCAAAAGCGGAAGTATGCCTGTCAAAACTAGTTAATGATACTGCGAAACTTTATTCCAAATCATTTGATTTGGAGGATTGTGAGGACAACCATCATTGTCCTCACATACCATTTTCACTGAAATCCACCCAACCATGGCCACCCCGACCAAGCGACGCAATTTCACCGAAGGGGAAGACATCATGCTACTTCGGCAAGTCACGCTGGAAATGCTGTTCGAAGCACGACGTGACCAAGTCATGGAGCGTTGGGCTGAAGTAGCGTCGGGATTGAACACGGCCGATGAATTCAGACGCACGGACATCGATGCCAAGAAAGCATGTAACCATTTCATCCTCCTTCTCGATGCCCATCGAAAGGCCAACAACCAGTCCCAACAAGCGTCCGGTGTTGCAGAGGACGTTGGTGAGAAGGTGGTCCTCCTAGACGACCTGTTGGCGGCGTACGATGATGTTAAGGGCACCGAAGCGCGGCGCGCCGAAGCAAATCGACACGCGGCTGAACAAATGGAAGCGATGGAGAGCCAAATTCGTGCCGAAGCTCTCGAATCCGTGGGAAAACGAAAACGGGACAAAGACGGCGACGACACTGTCACATGTGGAGGTAAATTCATGACTGTTTTTACACTCATGCATGATCAAGCCCAAGCCGACCTTGAGTTTCAACGTACAAAATTTGAAACTGAAGTGAATGAACGGCGTTTGGACAGCCAGCTTTTGGCAGAACAACTTCGCCAGCAGCCGCAATCAATGATTGCTCTGATGAAATTGATAGTCAAAAAGTCTACTAATAATTAACAAAGATAGAAATTATATTAGATTTCAATTATCTGTAACGTGTCGAGGTATTGGCGTAAGGTTGGAGACGCCAAGTTGAAAAATTCGCTAATTTGGTTTCCACGGAAATAGCAGCAATGACAATTGGTTAGCAGCATTGCAATAGCAACTACCTTAGCCACAGGGGAGAGACGGATTTTCGATAATATTTTAAACGAAATGTATACCAAGAGCGTGTTTACCAGCTTGAAGTTCTATTCCACTGATTGTCGAACGCGGCTCATCCACTTGTTGAACTGCATTTTTTTGTTGCTGAAGTTAATCCCCTTGAATCCCGAAATCAAGTAAGGCACAATTCCATACGCTGGATCGCCATACATCGCTTTCCCCCAAAACACGTTTCGGCGCCCCCCCAGGTACTTGATCAACCCGCTCTCACGCAGCATGGTCGCATCGTGGCGCCGACCTTCGACCGGGCCAAAAAAGTGCACACAGATACCGTCAGGTGCAGTGACTCCCTGATAGTTGAGGCAGTGGATGAGCTTGTGCCCGCTGAAAATTTGTTTTTGTAGGTTAGCGCCATCTCCCGTCGCTGTGATGCGGCATGTTTGGATTTTGGTGCCGTCGATGAAGCCAAAAACGTTTGAAAGAGGCGTCCCCTTGGAGGCGACAGCACTGTAGTACCGATCAATGTTCTTGGCAACGAGTTTTTCGTTGAAATACAGTAAAGACCCCCACTGCGCGTACAGCACGTTGATGACGTGCATGAAAATGTCACACAAGTCGGAACGCGATCGTGCAAAGGTTTTAGTCATAGTGTGGAACCGAACGGGGAACGCCAACCGACCCAACAACACACACATGGCCTCGTCCCGGTGCACTGTTCTGCGTTATGATCACTGCAGGCAAACCAAGAACAAAACCAACTGCTTGATACCAGCGATGTCGAAACGATAGTCCAGGATAGCAGTGGCGTCAGTTGACGTCTCGAGCGAGAAACGTATATCGGGGATGAGAGGTCGTTCCACGACATAGGCAGCCATTAGTGCAAGCAAGGTCGCTCGTTGGCGCAGAGTCTTGGCGAAGGGGACAAGCTGCATGAGGTTACGCTGTGTGATTGACATGGTCGCGGTACCGATACTTCGTATGGCAACACCAGCATCCAACGAAAGTATCCGTATTTCTCTCTTATCCGGTTTATTGTGATGACAAGGATGGCAAAAGAGTTGCGAAACGAATAATATTTTGTCATTATCATTATCCTTGTCGCCGAATTTGTCGAATATGTGAGGATGAGGGTAATGTAAAGATGAGTTGCTAAACCTCTCTATTGTCGTTCTGAAAAACGAACTCAATGGCAAAGTGAGCATGCGCTGAGGGTAGCATGCAGTCGGAAATTGTCTCGCGCTCGAACTCCGTCAGCTGCGCGCCAATGCCCATGAGGCCACAGAGAGGTGTTCAGTGGCCACAGAATGAAATGTGATGTGCCTTTCATGGCTTGCCCACGTGTCCTTCGTTTGAATTCGTGTTAGGCGGGAAGATTTCTCTTATGTTTTTAACGTATTGCACATGTATCGAAACAGTTTTTTTAAGAATATCTCTTACATTTGTATCCAAATTGTGTCATTTTGGTCTCGCTTCACTGTGCTTTTCACGGTGAATCAAACACTACCTTCAGAAGTGAATGTCCTTTGATATTCAATGAGATAGCTCAAATATACTTGGCATCTTAACGTTTTGCATCAGACTGTGTATATTTTAGCTACTCAGTGCATACATAAGGTAAATGATCGAATTCTCGGACACGATTTGCTAACAACTTGTTTTTCGACTTTGATTGGACGTAAGTCAGTAACTAAACATCCTCTCAAAAATCTGAAAGTACCACTCGAAAATACAATTCCTGGAGTTTTTTTTACTGCCTCATAGATACTCAATCAATGATAATTGCGATTTGTACTAAAATAAATACATGGAGTAAAATTAGTGATGACAATTTCGATGCACCATAATTCTCGGACATAGAATTACCTTACATTTTGTATTGAAGTAAAATAATTTACAAAATATACGCCCCAAATACAATGCACGTATTATAATACCGATGGTGGACAAAAGTCATTATATTACACAACATTTTAATAATTGCATAAAAAAATTACTTCTTCTGCTTGACTGGACGGACTGCAGATGCATGAAGTTCTTCCCGAGTGTACCATTCCAGGTTAGAGGACACACGCTTCCATTCTTTAATTTCCTTATTCTGCGGGGGTAAGGTCAATACTTCCTCTCTCACGTGCTCCTTCGTCTTCAACCATGCTGCAGAGGCACTTCTCATGGAGTTCACCTGTGCCAGAGACAACCGATTCAGCATCTTCGGCAACGACAACGGCCATATACCACAAGTACGAAACCCGTTCTCTACAGCCTTGTTTCTCTTCTCAACCCCAACCGCCGGCAAAACTGCATTAAACGCCTCACCAGCCACTTGTAGCGCTGTTTGGCGAGGCAACGTTGTCGTGTTCATGGCCTGGAGATGTTGGGTTACACCTTGCGTGATCTTCCTCTTGAAGGTGCGAAACAGGGCGACATCAAGCGGCTGCAGTAAATGCGTGGAGTTTGGAGGCAGTCGAACAATGAAGATCCCGTACGCTTCACAAATGGGTAAGCTGTTGCTCGTGAGGTGGGATGAACAATTGTCGAGTACAAGCACAGCGAGTCGGGCGTTGCGTCGACGCAGTTTCCATTCACCAAAACATTCTAACCAACTGTCAAAATAGGTCACCATTCATGAATGCCTTGGGGGTCGCTGACACCATGGCGTCGGCTACTGGGCATGTCTCCAAGACGGAGGTCTCGCAACTTTGGCCTCGGAGAATGAACGCTGGAGGTACATGAGTTCCATCCGCAGCGACGGCAGCTACGATAGTCAAGTGGTAGGAGTCAGTCTGATCGCCTTTCCAAACATTCTTCGAATCCCTTACAGCGATGACCTTCTTCGTAGATCCTTTGGTCTTGAAGCTTGTTTCGTCAACGTTGTAGACATCCGATGCGGTGCATGCGAAGCCGATGCATCCCTTGACGAGGTCGAAAAAGTACTTCATGACTCCTTCCTTGGTGACCGAGTTCCGTGCGTGACTCAGTCTCTGCGCCACACGAGTCGTAAGGTCATGATGCCGTCGAACGAAACCAGCAAACCAGCCGATGCTGAGCGTTCTGGGTACACCGTCGTGGTACGACAGAATCTTTCCAGCCTTGATCAGCACCTCGTATCGCTCAACAGGCCAGCCAGTGCACTGCATAGCGACTATCCAAGCGACAAGGTCTTCCTCCAAGTCCTCTGGAATGGCTGGTTTAGCTCCACGTTTGCCAATCGTAATAGAACCCGTCTCATCGATGTCGTCGAGTGTGGGTGGCATTTGCGAACTGTGTACGTTTCCGCGGTTATCTCAGTCGATTTTAGTTGTACTTGGCGCCAAACGATCGGGCCAATCAGCGTGGTGATTTTCCACTTAATTTGACGAAAAACGGATTAATATTGACGGATTTAGGTGCAAAAGAGTGGGTGGTGATGGAACTCTGTGTATTTTTATTGTTTGTGGTAATATTATTGGTGTTAAAAGTGGTGAAGTCAAGCAGAAGTGGTGGATATTATCATATCCAATAGAATTGGTTCACAAAAAAATAGAGCCTACTGATTGGTCAAAACTCCAATGTCCGAGAATTCGATCATTTACCTTAATGCATACCACTCTGTTCCGAAATCTTAGTCCAATTGTTTTCTCATTGGCGGCATTTTTCTAAAACGTAGTATTTGAAGCAGTGGATTGGTCCACATGAAAGCGCAAGATCTCTACTTTGATTGGCTAGTTTTCGTTTCTTCCAAGTCGTTTTGCTCGAAAAATTACATCGCTCCAAAGTGAGCACATCGGGTCACGACCATATAAACCTCTCCGGAGAGAGACCATTATTCATTCCACAGTCTGCAAACTTCGACGCTCGCACAACCACCACACCAAGGATGCTGGAGAACCACGTGGAGCACATATCATCGCACAATGATGTTGTGAGGACTGAAAGGAACCTTAAACCGACGGAGCGTCGCGCGGTGTTCGAGCAGCTGCTAGAACGATCCATTGGTGGAAAGCTCCCGTACGGAGCAATCCGAGATGTGGCACGTGTGTACTGTTGCCATTCTCGAACAATTGTACGCATTTGGAAGCAAGGACGACTCTCTCAAAGCCGCAACCATGGACTTGCGGATGTCGCGGCAAAAATGAAGGGTATTACCCCTATAACATAATTTTTCTATACAAAAATATCAATTCATGCAATTATCAAGTTATACGGATTTACTCGATTAGGAAATTCTGGACGCAAGAAAACCCGGACCGCCGAGGAAATCAAAGCCGCTGTTCAAGGGGTCCCTCAATACCATCGGCAGACGTTGCGAGCGTTAGCTGCGAATTGCCATGTACCAACGACTACCCTCGTCCGCCACATGAAGGAGCACGGGAAGCTGAAGGCCCGGAGCAGCTACGTCAAGCCCATGCTGACAGAAGAGAACATCGGCACAAGGCTTGCCTTCGTGAAGAGCTTCCTGCGACCCTTGTCAGGTGGGACCATTGGCTTCTCCAATATGCACGATTTGGTGCATATTGATGAAAAATGGTTCTACCTGACAAGAGTCAAAAAGAAGTTCTATGTCTATGACGACGAAGAAGTTGCAGCAAGGTTCGTCAAGTCGAAGAGCTTCATTACCAAGGTCATGTTTCTGGGCCGCGGTTGCACGGCCACGCTACGACCCCACAAGGAAGACATTCTTCGACGGCAAGATCGGCGTGTGGCCTTTTGTTGAAGTCGTTGCCGCCAAACGCACAAGCAAGAATCGTGTCAAGGGTACCCCTGTGACCGTGCCACAAACGGTAAACAGCGATATTTATAAGGCCTTCGTGTTGGACAAGGTAGTTCCTGCCATATGTGAGCGATTCCCCTTCGGCGATCAAGGAAGAGGTGTACGAATCCAGCAAGATAACGCAAGTCCTCACCGTCACGTCACGACAGCGTTGCTTCGCAGTACGGGGGTTGAAAATATCACTGTTATCAACCAGCCACCGAATAGCCCCGACTTTAATGTCTTAGATTTAGGGTTCTTTAACTCTATTCAAAGTCTACAGCATCAAAAATGCACTCGAACCATCGAGGAACTTATTGATGCTGTCAAAACCGCGTTCTTTGAGTTGCCAATGGACACTGTATCAAAAACATTCATAACGTTGCAAAAAGTGATGCAAATGTCTATGGAAATGCTGGGAAGCAACAACTACAAACTTCCACGCATGAAAAAGGACGCTACCATTGCCAACTTTGCCGCGTATAATGTTCAATGTGATGCATCGAGTCTTGAAGGCGCACTTCTTCACTTGGATCTACGCCTTGGAGATGAGTCTCAACTTGAGGATCTGGTCAATTCGCACGAATAAGTGGAGTTCGAAGAATAATAAAAAATGCATTAAAGTTTTGTTGGTTGTTATGGTATTTTAGAGTTCAATACAAAATATAAGATGTTTTGGTCATTGTCGGTATACTTTAATTAAGTCAAAAGAAGTGGACGAAGATTCCGGTACAGAGTAGTAATTGTTACTGGTACATACTGTAAGACTGAAATACATTGTGCACATTATGCAATATATGCGCATTAGTGTACATATTTTTACTCCAGCGTTTCGTGGACAGTCGATACGTCCCAGTAGCAGCGGTTGCACTTAAGGAAGAGGGTCGCCTCAATCATGATGGGATGGAGTGAAAAACGGTCGAGGCCAATCAATGCACACGCCATGCTGAAAAGACGCTCGGCTATGCTTGACGTTAGAGTGACAACATAGGTGTCATTCTCGTCGGCCAGGCGCGCACGTTTCAACGCCATGGTAATACCCATAAATATTTATGCTTTATGCATATTATTTTATTTCGACCCCTGAGTATATCCCAATATCCACAGCGGGCCGTGCCGAAGACGCAGTTCCCGCCCCAGCACGCGTACTTGTGGTCGATGGAAAAGACAGACCGCTTGGGAGCACTGCTATTTGTGGTTCACGTACGGGGGTAGATTTGATTCAAGTCCAGGGCCAGTCAGTCCACCTGCGCTTGGCGCATCCGTGTAGTCGTCGAGAAAGACAATGTGCAGGAGCCCAAAGTGGATCGAGTAGTACATGCTGACATTGTTGGGTTGGCCTGCGTGATGGGGGTGGCAGCTCGGTTGAGGTAGTCGAGGTAGTTTTCATGGCTGTAGCCCGTGCAGGATTGGATCACTTCGTGGTTGCCGTTGATGCCAGCCGCGGGGAGTTTGGAAAATATGGGCTGCTGCAACTGGTAACGTTATCACTTCTTTTGGTTGCTGTTGGCGTACGAGTAGTCCCCCATGATCTAGATGGCTTGCATGACCAGGGTCTGCACGGGCATAAGCAGTAGGGTGAACGACCATCGCCTCTAAGTCTGCGCCCCCCACTATACTAAACACGGTGGGGCTGGCATTGACACCAGGGGCGACACAAACGTCGACGAAAACAGGCTATCCACGCTCTTCGAGTACTTCGTCGCTGGGTCCTAGCCACAGAAGCTTGTCGTGTGCAAGTACAGAGACATTTGTTTCGTCAATGTGCACACGGAGCCAGTGGTGCGTGCTACCTTGTTTTGGTTGTTCATGTTCGAGTCGAATGTGACCGCATAGGGCTGTTAGAGACACCCCGTGCGCACAGTCTAGTGCTCGGTTGGTCATGGCCAAATGGTCTCGGTCACCCAAGGCCATTTGGCTTTCCTTCACCAATCAACCACGAGACTATGGTTGTGTTAATTGTAAATGAACTCAAGGCAATATTCTATCGAAATTACCCCCTGATAGCTACCGCTTAATATATTTCACGGATTTGAAACATATTTTTCATACTACCCCAGTAATACTTCAGTTAAGCCGACTTCTTGTCGTCACGCCAATGTTCGACGAGATTGGTGAAGATGCCGTTGGGGTTCTTGAGCAATTGCGCGGGCGTGTCGAACTCGGCCGCCGATCCCTTGTCCATCACGAGGATGCGGTCGCTGTCCAAGATGGTGTTGATGCGATGCGCAATCGTGAGACACGTGCAGTCCTTGAACGAGTCGTGGATGCTTTCTTGGATCAGTCGGTCCGTGTTGGCATCGATCGACGCCGTGGCTTCGTCCATCAAAATCACCTTGGACTTCTTCAGCAGCGCACGGGCGATGCAAATCAACTGCCGCTCGCCCACGCTGAAGTTCTGGCCACGCTCGCCCACCTTGTCGTCCAACGCCGTCACGGCCTGGTGCAGATTCGCACGCTTGATGGCCGTCCAAATGGCATCGTCGCCGCACCGGTCGAACGGATCCAAGTTGGACCGGATGGTGCCTGAAAACAGCACTGGGTCCTGGGGAATGATCGACACTTTGTCCCGGAGGTCGTGCAGGCCGATCGTCGAAATGTCCACGTCGTCCAGGGTGATAACTCCGCCATCCAACTCCACCAACCGCATCAACGCCACCACGAGCGACGACTTGCCAGCGCCCGTACGCCCCACAATCCCAATCTTCTCGTTGGCGTTGATCGTAAACGTCAGCTGTCGCAACACTCGGGGAAGGCCCCTGCGGTATCGCAGATCCACGTCCTTAAAGGTGAGTTTGCCTTGGGATGGCCATTTCGCGTTTTCCAATTCCAGCTGCTTGATGGGCTCGGCCTTCAATTCCGCCTCCGCTTCCATCGTCGTGTACGCGTGGATGCGCTCGACGCTGACCATTTTGGATTGCACCATACTCAACATGCGGACACTCGAGTTGAGATTTTGAGTGACGTTGAACGCATACGACAGCGACACACCCGCCAATCCAGCAAAGGCCACGCCAGCGTTGGCTTCATGGCCCAACACGGCAAACAGTGCCGCCGCCGTGGCGACCACTGTGCCCGCAAATTCCAAGCGCAGCGAGAGCCAGCAATTGGCGCTGAAGTTCAAAAAGTACGCGCGCTGGTTGCGATCGAGCATGTCTTCGTTGCGAGCGGCAAACTGAGGCTCCACGCCAAAGGCTCGGATGGTGGGAAGGCCTTCCAGAGTTTCGGTGAGCAAGGCATACACAGGGGAGCGGGAGATGCTGTCCAACCGTTGCAATTCCCGCGATGTCTTGATGAAGTAGCGCTGGCTGGCATAGTACAAGATGCCCAACGGGATCAAAATGACGGAAAACCACGGTGTCACATATATCACTGTGCAAATGGTCGTGATGACGCTGAACACCGTGCCGAACAACATGCCCCAGACCCCAGGAATCGTCTCGTCGATCGCGTACACGTCCTTGCTCATGCGGTTCACGATGCGGCCCAACGGAGTGGTGTCGAAGAACGACATGGGCGCACGAAGCACTTGGGTCAGCAACTGGTTGAACATGAGCGTGGACCCGCGAAGACCCGTCACGTACAGCACCAGACTTTGCACAAACATGAGCGTGATCACTCCCACGTTTAGCCCCATGAAGATGTACAGGTAGTAAAACTGACTGTGCGCTGTGTCGGCCGCGCTTTCACTCCAGTACGACAGCCAAAACGTAGACAACAAGTTGACGCAGTTGGTCAGGACGTAGAAGAATATCACGATGAACCCCATGCCCAAGCCACCGCACGCATCGATCCACACCTTGTACGTTGACCACGGCACGTCGCCGGTACTGCGGTCTTCGTCGGAAATCAAAGCGGCGTTGGCGACCTTATCCGTGTCCACGTCGCTGCGGTTGGATTCGGTGCGTTGGCGCGTATCATGTTCTCGCTCGTCTTCTTCTTGATCGTTTTCACGAGGCGAGTCGGTGTCTTCTTCCTTGTTGGGGGCTTCTTGAACGCTTTCCATCATCTTGGCCAAGACCCCGTCGACCTTGTCCACCAAACTCTGGTACGCTCCTTGTTCGACGATGCGACCCTGCTCCAGCACCACCACCGAGTCGCAGTCCTTGAGGAAGTTGAGTCCGTTCGTGACCAACACGACCAACTTGCCATTCAACGCCGTCTTGATGCACTGCTTGAAAATGTCCGACCCCACATGGGCGTCCACCGCCGCCAGCGGGTCGTCCAACAAGTAAATGTCCGCATCTATACATCATCATCATCACAACCACCACCTATTTGAAGAAAACGAAGGCATTTGATAACCATACCTTGGTACACGGCCCGGGCGATGGCCACACGGGTGCGCTGTCCGCCACTCAAGTTGATTCCTTTTTCGCCGATTTCAGTGAGGTCGCCACCAGGCAAAATCTTGAGATCTTCCAAGAGGCTGCTCACACGAATGGCAGTTTGGTACCGCGCGTGGTCGAAGGCCAATCCAAACGTGATGTTGTCTCGCAGAGTTGCGTTTTGGATGAATGGCTGCTGGCTCACATATGCCACAGACCCAGAGCGGTGTACTTGGCCTACTCCATTTATTAATATATCAAAGTTGCCATTGAAATCATTTTTTACCTTTGGCGCAGCGAGCATCGCCCAAGATCCCAGACAACAGCGTACTCTTGCCAGACCCGACGGCCCCCACCACCGCCACCAAGCTCCCGTCGGCGACTTTAAGGTTGAGATTGTGCAAGATAGGCCCAACTTCGGCGTTTTTCACGGCATTGGTGTCTTGGGCCGCATCCCATTCAAAGTCAGCATGTTGGAGCAAGATGGCGGTTTCCTTCAACGGTCCCGCGGTCACCGGCTCGCGCTCTTCCATCGCGAAGAACTCTTCCAAGCGCGAGAAACTCACTTGCGCTTCCACGAGGAAGTGGATCACGCTGGGCAGCATGAACAGCGGGAGGCGCAAGATGTTGAACAGCGCCAGCGACGTCAGCGCCGTACCCACGTCCAGCGAATTGCCCATGTAAATGTACGCAAAGAACGACGCGACCGTGACCAACGATGGCACGCCATTCAACACCATGCTGGACCCCGCGCGGGCGTACATGTATGTGCGAAGGCGGTCCAGTTCGTTGCTGCGAAACTGCATCACGCGGTTTGTAAACGCGTTTTCCCACGCCTGGAGCTTGATCACTTTGATGCCACTGAGCACTTCGTACACGACCTTGACGCGTTCGTCCTTGACCGCCATGAGCGCCCCTTGCTGCGTTCGCATGTACTTGGAGATCACGGCCGTCGCGGGAATGATCAGTAGCATGACAATCACACCGGCAAGGAACGCTACGCCTAATTGCAAGTACAACAAGTAGGACGAAATGATGATCTGAAACAGCGCGAACCAGGTCGCATGCAGGTAGATGGCTATGTCCTGAACCCGCTGGGCGTCTACACTCATGAGGTTGGTGATTTGCCCTGTCGACTTCTTGGCGCGGGCCGACGTCGCCAGGACAAGCGACTTTTGGTACACGGCCGTAACAACCGCCGAACGGAAGCGCAACCCGGTTTCAAAGCACAGGAAAAGGTACTGACGAAATGAAAACGACTGCACAACCCCCGAGACAAAGATCGCCAACGCATATTGCAATCCCGTGCTCAATTCCGCAGCGGGGTCGCTCAGGAACTCAATGATGTACTTGATCACCATCGGTCCGACAAACTGCAGCAAATCGTTCAAAAGCTTGAGGAACCCGGCTGCTGCAAACGGGCCGCCAAACGAACCAGCCAGTGCCCACCAAAGGCGCGGCTTCGGCTTCGTGAGTTCATGCTCCCAGTTCTTCTTGAACGTCAACGAGATTTGCGCGGCGCGGTCGTCAACATTCAACTGGTACAAGTCGTCGAACTCGAGGGGGCGCTTGTTCCCAAGATCCAAGAGCGGCGTGAGCCACGAGAAGAAAACGTTGCTCATGCACCCGCCCAGTTCAGCAGGACTCTTGCCTCCCAACTCATGATCCGTCGTCGGTCCCTTCCTCACAAGGGGCAGACGCTCCCCCTTCTTGTAAACGATGGACGCCATCGACACGATCTCTCGGTTGGCGGACAAAATCTGAAGTGCGTACCTAGGTCGTGTTCACAACATTCAATCTGGGACACTGATCGCATCGGTTGCCAAAGGTTTCCCTCATTGACATATGTGACTGTCGCACGCGATCAGTTTCCATCGCCCCGGTCACAGTATTAGGTATTTTGCACCTCTGAACTACAGTGTAGGTACAAACATTCACGAGCCAACGCCATTCATTGGCAACAGTACAAACTTCGTGATGGTTTTGGGGTTACCAGTACAGGGTTACGGGTTAAAAAGTGTGGATTTTGCAATGATTACTAGTACCACTATAGACTACAAATTGTATGAATGTTTGTACCTACACTGTAGTTCAGAGGTGTAAAAGTAAAATAACTGTAAGGTAAATGATCGAATTCTCGGACACGATTTGCTAACAACATGTTTTTCGACTTTGATTGGACGTAAATCAGTAACTAAACATCATCTCAAAAATCTGAAAGTACCACTCGAAAATACAATTCCTGGAGTTTGTTTTACTGCCTCATAGATACTCAATCAATGATAATTGCGATTTGTACTAAAATAAATACATGGAGTAAAATTAGTGATGACAATTTCGATGCACCTTAATTCTCGGACATAGAATTACCTTACATTTTGTATTGAAGTAAAATAATTTACAAAATATACGCCCCAAATACAATGCACGTATTATAATACCGATGGTGGACAAAAGTCATTATATTACACAAAATTATATTAATTGCATAAAAAAATTACTTCTTCTGCTTGACTGGACGGACTGCAAATACATGAAGTTCTTCCCGAGTGTACCATTCCAGGTTAGTGGACACACGCTTCCGCTCTTTAATTCCCTTCTTCTGCGGGGGTAAGGTCAATACTTCCTCTCTCACGTGCTCCTTCGTCTTCAACCATGCTGCAGAGGCACTTCCCATGTATTTTTATTGTTTGTGGCAATACTATTGGAGTTAAAAGTGGTGAAGTCAAGAAGAAGTGGTGAATATTATCATATCCAATAGAATTGGTTCACACAAAAATTGAGCCTACTGATTGGTCAAAACTCCAATGTCCGAGAATTCGATCATGTCCGAGAATTCGATCATTTACCTTACTACTGACAGGAGGGTGTACAGAACTGCAACGGTAACACTGTAGGTACTGGATATGAGTACACTAAAAGACCCATGGGACTTATACGTATACTTCGAAGTACTACGTAGTATATGATAATTTGTACGGAAATCCTTGCCCCATGTTGATCAGTGATTGGACAG